ACACACACTAGGTTTAAGAGAGAGAGAGGGAGGGTTTAGCGTCCACTCGACACACACTAGGTTATTTCTGGACTAACATCTGGTTCAGTGGTTCAATTTTATTTCAATAATTCTCCTGCGCGTAGGGATCTTTAGTAGTGGGAGGAAACCGGGTGACCCGGCAAACCCCCACCAGGTTGGAAAGGCGATGGAGATTTACGTTCACTCGGCACAAACTAGGTCATTTCGAGACTAACATATGGTACAATTTTATGTAATTAATTCGCTTTACCATGTGTGGGTGTGGGCTGTAACAGCAGTGTAAACCTATTGCAAACGCCGGAACACTGCATTGACTGGACGTATGACGAGTGTCACAGGCTCGGCGGCAACGGATTGTGAAGGTAGAACCGAAATGGCGCGTATTGAGAACCTAATTAAGGCACATGAGGGGAAATTTTTGAGATCCTTTATCGCTTCTACACATGGTTGCTACCCCAAAGATATATGGTTCGCTTTGCGCTGCTTTGGCGCTTGCACGACGTCATTACACCGATCTCTTCAGAGCTTCGACCAGATGCAGTAACCCTCATGGTAACACCCTCACGCTTTCACAGAAGTCAGGTCGCAGTCATAGCTCCATTGTGATTTTTGGTTTCACTAATGTATCCTTTCAGAAAGTTTATCCCCATTTTCCACAGAATCACATCATTTACAGATTTGCAAGGTCCCACCTCCCTAAATTTAGCACTAGATCAACCAGCAGGTAGACAGACAGACAGGAAAAATATGAAATTTCCGGGAAAAACTAACCAAAAATGATGATTAAATTCCAGTCTGTATCATGGTTAAAATCACATCAAATATACACCTTAATGTTCTAGGATACACATAGATTCATAAAAACGCTATGGCACAACATTTCGGCGTCTAAAATAGCAAAGAAGGGGGTAAAAAGACGAAGGTGTTCGATACGTGCTGCCGTATCCGTGTGCCGTATCACGTACCATAAATATACACTGATGACGTCACGGATACGGATACGCGATACGCATTTACGCTTGCCAAAAGTCTCTAATAATACGCCTGTAACTTACCTGGGAGAGAAGGAAAAAGAAAACTCACGAGATTGGACAGGCGACCCTACCCCTTGTCATGTATACGTGGGAATCGAAACCACCCCTGGGCACAATGACAGACGTTGTACTCCCGGCGCGCTGTATCATACGGTCTGTCATTGAGTCAACTAGCGAGGTTTCGATTCCCCGGTTTTCTCCGGGTCCTCCGGTTTCCTCCCCCTGCTAAAGACCCCTACGCGCAAGCGAAATGTGTTAAACCCCATCTCTCACCCTCTCTCTCTCTATCTCTCTCTCTCTCTCTCTCTAAAACGCCCGCTTTAAACTATTAGGTCACCCAACCTTCCAACTTACCTGTTTTTGTGGCAACAAAAATATTTCTGTAAGTAGAGATTTATTTCGTCAAGCTGTCTCAAGGAAGAAAATACATGCGCGAGCCTTTCATGAACTAATTGATTTTTCATCTTGAAAGGATGCTTAACAACGAAAACGCCATTGAAACAATAACTATAACTATCTATTATTAAGACGCTTTTGGGTTTTTTTCACGAATTATTTACAGACCTGGGTCCTGTTTCACGAAATTTTAACAAAGATAAAATCCAAATTTTAGTAATTTGATTGGATAATATTAGATTGATTTTAGTGCTTAGCCAATCAAAATTGAAGTATCGACTAAAATTTGGATTTTATCTTTAGTTAAAATTTCGTGAAACAGGGCCCAGGGTTTTAAAACAGGGATGTTTTAAGTTAAGCTTGGACAAGCAACCCTACCCCTTGTCACTTATAAACCACACCACTTGACTCCATGACAGACCTTGTGACCAAACGCGCAGGCTTTGAAACCACTAAAATCTGTAAATAACTTTTGTCATGTCCATGTTAAAAGGGGATGGGGGTCAACGAATACCCCTTGTTTCAATAATGTAATACTTTTAGTTTCTTGTCAAATTGTCAAATAGTGAATGTTGCCACAGCCTCACTTCCGTTCTATTTGCAACATTATATTCGACTTTAAGTTGCTGACAATGTATAAAATTCTCTCTAGACAATTATGAACCTGTTCCCAATAAATGCTAATGGTATGGTCGTGGGGTCACGAAATACCCCTTGTATCCGCACAAGGGTTAATGAACATTTAGCCCGTTAAAAGAGATCGAATCTTTTATAATTTTTTAAATAGATGTACGTCCAGTCCCACCTCCCTTCGTTATATTAGGTAGGGTGGTGCACAGCCTCAATATGTGTGCTAATAAAAACTGAACCTACTTTTTCAGGAAGTGAAATTTCTGGTATCCGGTGATCGCAACTGTCACAATCTGATGGATTGGTTCAGGTCGGCATCGAGTGGGATTTCGGTTGCAAAACCATTAGAGAAGGCTGGCTGTATTGGAGCACCGGCACTGGCAGGAATAAACGCGTTTTGATGCCTTCTAAATTATGTCGAATTTATAAGGTCCATGGTAGGCCTGTTATTAATAATTCAAAAATATTACCTCGTACATTATTTTTCATTAACATCATACTGCAAAATATATTTATCTGTGGGACTAACAATAACGTGTAAAATTATTAGATTTATCAGATTTCGCGATCTTTATATATCCATCTAAACGAGTATTGTAATCGACACTATAGTATTATAAACAGTTAAATAGTTTTCATTAGATGGCATATTATTCACAAACCAAGCCCTGTGTATGCGGGCTGAATGCACGATGTTTCCCGGAAGAGATAAATAAGTATTCGCTACAGCGGGTAGGTTGAAATTTTACTGTGACCATAAGGACATTAACTCAGACTAGCAATTATTTGCCCATTGACTTCAATGTTAAATGGCTGTAACATCACATAATGTACCCTTTGGACCATTTGGCAATCTCCTCATCATAATTTTGTAGAGGTTGAACGTTTAGATTTTTTGCTACGAGGATTTGATGTTGACTGGGGTCAAAATCTCACTTCCGACACAATAATTGCTCTGTAGAAAGACACTTTACACCTCCTATCCCTCTGCTGTCATATCAGTATTACCCAAAACTGCTATGAAATCGCAAATTTGACCCCTTTTTCCAATTCTAGACCAAAACACCAACTCAAAATTGCAGGAAAAGGGGAGAAAAAATTAAGCGTAAAATTGTCTATAAATTACTCGCACAGAAAAAAATGAAAATGAAATCGGGTTTAACGTCCTACTGTTCTGCTCCTAAACTGGGCTAGTGAAGACGGGCATACGCCATACAGTGTGCGACGAGGAATATTTTGCCTGGGCAGCGGCACTACGGCCTACTCTTATAACGAATTCCAACTGCCAAGGGATCTTTTACGTGCACGCCAATGTGTACACGGAACCTCTGTTTTTCGTCCCATCCGTACGACTAGACAGCTGTCCTTGTCTGAGAAAGAAAGGGAAATAATTACTAGTCCATAAGAGTTATAGCTTCCCTGGTCACGTCAATGGTGAGAGGTAAGTCAGAACGATTCAAAACAGATTATCCACGTTATAGGCGCCTCTGAAAGGAAGTGACTCTTGGAGACTGTTTCTACTGCAGTGTACTTTTTGTTACTGGCTTATAATGACTGCTTGCTTACGACCAGCAATCCTATATACCGGAAACTACCGGAAAACTATCGGAAAACACCGATGTTTCCCGGTTGTTTTATGGTGTTTTCCGGTATATAGTATAGCCCGCTTACGACTGGTACTTGGGTCACTGGTTTGATTTTTGTTGAAACTAATGGGGGGTCTTGAGTTCTTTTGTCTCGGGCCTCGAAGGGGCTTTCTTTTCTGGAGTGACCAACCTTCTCGTATCTGAAGCAAAGGTAAATCTGGCTTTTGATGGTGAGTATGATTTTTGCATCCCCAGTTTTGAGGATGATTTTATTCGGTTCATCTTCTCTGCTCAAGAGGTAATTATCAATTTTAATGACATTATTCTTTGGTTGTAGGTTGGTTTGATATTTATAGATGTATATTGTTTGATATTTATTATTTATAGATCTATTATTTGAGACGACTGAAGTCCATACACGTCGTGTTGTAGTATCCTAATTGGCTTCGTCATGATCATTGTGTCTGATAGTTCCTTGTTTGTTTTGAAGCCTTTCCCGATTCAGCTGGTACTTTCTGATGTTTTTTATCTAGATTAATTAAGTCGTTTTCACCAATCCTGAGGTTAATTACATATTCTGCGTCGACTTAATGTTTTGATGGATTGCTGAGGGAGGGGGGGGGCGGGATTGGTACTTGGACTTAGTGACGCTGACAAAATTTCTCTAACATAACCGTGCGTAGCGTATTCCCGTCTATATTAGCTCGGATAGTGCCGACAAGTAGTAGGTTAAACCCATTTTATTTCGTTTCATAGCTCCGTTTTTTTATACTTTATACTTCGTTTCGTTTTTTTATACTTTCGATGGTCTATACTACATGAAGATCTGACCGGTTGTAGTGGAAGGTCGCGTCAGAGGTCATGCGAGCGGCTTTTGGCCTATTACGTCAGACATTTGATTAACATATCAGCGTGATGTTTCTAGTGGGTAACCCAAAATCTCACCGTAACAGACCGTTTCATTGGCCAATCTCGCAGATCATCCAGAACGCAGGCTATATATCAACTCTTTCAGACCATAGTGTAGTAAATATATACAAGTAAAACGAAATTTTGAACTATAAAATTTTTTCAGTAAATACCCTTTACATTATCTTGTTTTGAACTATTATAGTGAGAACTGCCAGCTCTTTATCTAATCTCCCATAATGTATCTTTACGGATACAGCGCGATACACTTGTCGGCTTACCCCCACCCCCTACCCAACAAGCAGATATACTGGGAGGTGGTTTGGACTTCCAAAGAAAACAGAAAAAATGACGGTTGTGAAAACATTTTATTCATTCATCGAATATCTTGACCCTTGGTGATCAGTCTTATTCAAATATCTGGTTACCATGGTAACAGTAAACACACTTCTACTGGGTAATGGTCACTAACCTTATAAGCCTGAAAAAAAAAAGATATTTTAAAACGGCATGGTGTAGGAAATAATTGAACAATACTTTTAGAAACCGTGGTGACTCAATGAGTAAGGCGTTGGATCACAAAACTGGAGGTCGATTCAATCCCGGTGTTGGCCGAGATTTTTGTCCACGGGGATTTTCCAGTGTGGTTTCTCCTTGTCAGTGGTGCATGGTGGAGGCCCTGGTCAGGTCCATCGTCTAGTCGTTGGGATGGAACGAAAAAGCCGAAGTTGTGTGTACATGTTTACGTGTAAGTAAAAAATGAAATGGGGTTTAACGACCTACTGTTCTGCTCCGACTGGCCTAATGAAGACGGACGTAAGAGAGAGAGAGAGAGAGAGAGAGAGAGAGAGAGAGAGATGGGGTTTAACGTCCACTCGACACAAACTAGGTCATTTCGGGACTAACATATGGTTTAATTTTATTTCAATAATTCGCTTGCGCGTAGGGGTCTTTAGCAGTGGGAGGAAACCGGAGGACCCGGAGAAAACCCACGAGGTTGGACAGGCGACCCTACTTCTTGTCACGGACGGACATAAGCCATTCAGTTTGCTAAGAGCGAAATTTTGCCCGAACGGCCTGCTCAAATATCGATTTCTAACTACCAAGGGATCTTTTACGTGCACGCCAATGTGTACACGGGACCTCGGTTTTTCGATCCATCCCAACGACTATGAACTGTCTCGCCCAAGGCAGTGATTGAACGCGGGACCTCCAGGTTAGCGAGCCAACGTCTTTCTCACTGAGCCACCGTGGCGCCATGTACGTAAAAGAACCCTTGACAAATGAAATTCCATAGAGAGCCGACCGGCGTGAAAATGACGAAACAAAAGGCGAACAAAGGGAGAAAATAAAATAAAATACTGACCTTTCTCCAAACACCGCGACCTAGTACAGAAGTATGGAAGGTCCCCTTAACACAATCTAGGTCATTTCGGGACTAACATATGGTTCAATTAGATTTTAATAATTCGTTTGCACTTATTGGTCTTTAGAAGTAGAAGGAAACGGGAAAAAACCTACAAGGCTGAACAGGCGACCAGACACCTTGCCAGGTTGGAAACCACGTCACATGACCTTCTGACCTGAATCTCACGCGTTAAACCACTCGACCACCCAGTCTCGTAGTCCCGCTTATCAAAGGAGCGGTTAAGAAAGGTAACTGCAGTTTTAGGAAGTAATTTTGAAAGTTGATCATACCTCATCAGTCTCCAAATCATACTCCCGGTCAAACTTGTAGGCAATACCAGATTTGTCAATCAAAGCTTCAGTCAGAAGATCTCCCGTTATCACAATTCTGTAAGTGAATTACGAAAAAATCATTTTACCATAATACATTTAGAATCATACACAATATAGACACAATAACGAGCTTTGCGTCATGGTTTTGAGTTTTTGCGCCCCCCCCCCCTCCCTTGAGTTTTTGCATCCCCTGTCAAATGGCAACAAATCACGCGGTTTCAGTGCGGTTTTCAACATTATAATCATAACCAGTTTCAAACATGTACCGTGGGTCAGATATGCTACAAATCTACACTAGCATCATGTTCCAAACAGCCCAATATTTCTCGGCGGTACTGGGAGGGACCACCTCTCCCTCCCACGGACTGGATCTTGTTCCTCATGCAAAGTCATGGTTCATCAGGCCCCTGCCCCCCCCCCACCCCCTATCCAAAATAAAATCAGGAATTTTAAGTGTGCCTTCTTATCCACCCGTAACAAAACCAAACAAGCATGCATGCACCAAACCAAAATAGCTCCGTCTGAGATAAGACACCGAGCTAATTGACCGGCATTTTAAGTCCTAAATCGACGATTTTTGTCGAAATAATAAGTGTACTTCGAGAATTTTTTGGAGTATTTTTTATTCTGCTTCCATTTAATGAAACTGCAAAAGTTTATCTAGTCTTAGTGTGTATGACAGATGTGAAACGGATTACAAACGCATTACAAAACAGTATATTAAGTGATGGATAATGGCCGAAGACTGTCCATTATGTAAATAGAAAGAACAACTGAGGGGCGTTAGCTCCGAGGTTTTTTCTTTATATTTACATAATGTACAGTCTGAGGCTATTATCAAACTTAAAACATAGCACCATAGAGATACAAATAATGGATAGTTTTCTAAAACAACAAGCCATAAAATAATGGATATATTCTTAAAACAACATGCACTTGCTCATGAATGCATGTGAGAAAACACTTCAGTCATACAATGCAAGCATACACAAAAATATTCGACATGGAGACATGTTTATAACACAGTCGAAAACAAATATAAATAATGAGAATATATGTGATAAGCATTTGGATACTGATTACATTGTTAAAATACTCGTTATGGAAGATAATAGCCGTAAAATGGAGATGTTCTTGATATGGGGGAATAATAGCCGTCAAAGTTGTGATGGAAAGTATACTCACGATATTTAATTTAGATATTGATAACATTCTTAGTACTGTGGTTAATATGGAGGGTACTAGCCGTCCAAATTTTGATTTAAAATTTAATATATACTCTGATATAAGTGATAGGACACAGGATCAAAGGCACAAACCAATTACCGAAATTCAAAATAACTGTCATTATGGTGTAACGATGATATATTTGAACGTTTTTTTATAAAGGGATAAAAATTGTGACCTGTATAGGTTCCACAGGCTCAAAAGACGTTTTTTTATGTTCAATCAGGGGGGCCATAATCCAGGAAGTTACGTTCCGATAAGCGCAAATATCGCAAGGAATCGAAATCTTTGGGTTATAAACACACATCTTCATTTCATCAAAATGGGCTAATAATTGTGACCTCTAGTGTGTACAGCCAGGGGCCATAATCCATGAAGTTACGATCCCATACAAACCAATATCGAAAGGAACCGAGATCTTTGGGATAATTACCTATATTTCAAGTTACGACCTGTAGAGTGTCCACAAAGAAGGTGTGAAAATGTGGCGTATAAAAACGTATTATCGATCTAGTGCCAAACGTACTATTAAACAGATAAGTGACACAAGTGGAATTATTTAGGTAGACAAACACGTGAAATCAACATTCGGCCATGTGACATTTCGGTAACTATGAGGTTTTAAAGTAATTTCATGTTCTGTAATTTAATTTGTTCAGAGAATAAATTATCTCAAAATGCATGTTCATTTTTCAGATACGTGTCTATTATTGGTATTTTCTTAAACAATCGTCTATTATTTATAAAACTGCCCATTATTTATTAAAAATAATGGACAGTTTTATAAATAATAAACGATTGTTTAAGAAAAGCGTACATTCTCCTATATACTGGTTAAAAACATCAAAGGGTGACGTCATATCTATGTTTTAATGTTTGGATATGGCGGCCTTGTAGCGCAGAGGTCGATTCTCGACGAATGAAGTAGATGGATCTCTGTACGTGCAGAATGCACATGTAATTAACGAACTAGAAACCAGACATGACGTCATCGCTGACAAATAGAAGTCCTCGTGAAATCTTAAAATAAAACATTTTAATTGCGGATGATCTCATTTCATTAATTAAGTACAAATTTGAGCTCTTAGCAACTTCAAATAATTTAATTTAGTTTTTTTTTTAAAGCAACAAGAAAAGGAATAAGGGTATTACCTATTTAGTGTAAATGGCTACACGAAGGCACTACATAGGTAATGCGAAAGCCTTCTCTTAACTTCACGTGTATTATAGGTCTACGTGTGACGTCACACCGTAGCACATCGAAAGCACTCGCGTTGTTTACATAAGGCGTAGTAACACAAACTGGTTGGGGCAGAATTGGTGCTTTTTACTCATTGTATACTTTTGCATACCATTTACACGAAATGGGTTACATTTTTATACAGATATACTTCTAACACATTTCATTTTTATCTTAATAATTTTAAAAAAATGTTTTAGAATTTAATTTGTAGAAGGAAATAAAGTTAATACTGCGAGCTAATTAACTCGCCCCGGTGTCATCACTCTCCGTGATTGTAGCGCCTAGCGAATATTCACTGCTGATCAGCCTGGTCCATTCGAGGCTGCAAAACTCTATATGACGTCACGTGTAGACCTATAATTGACTTGAACTTAAAAGGCCAGTCACCTTCTACAGACTTATAAAGAGGCTTTCGCAATACTTCTGTGAAACAGATTGCTATAATACTCTGATTGGTTGGTGTTATTACGTAAACAATGCACGTGTTATCGACGTCCTATAATGTGACGTCACACCTAGACATATACTGCACGTCACCTTAAAGGTCAGCCATCTTACATAGAGTTGAAAAAAAAAAGGCGCCCACATTACCGCTGTGAAACACATTGAAAAAGTTACTTGGGATATATTTTAAAATGGTGTCCGCTTACCTATCATATGCACAATTTGTTCCACAACTGGTTGTTGTGTCTACTTCAGATGAGATTACCCAGGTGTACTTAGGGTCATTGTATATGGGACTTTCTGCCAGTTCGGTTTCATCCAGATAGGAACATTCCGCATTAAAATCACCCAAAAACATAACGTTCTGTGAATATCAAATAACGCAATAATATAGAATATGACATAATTACATAAAAAAAAGCTAGCACATTCTGCCAATCTAATTAAAATAGAGATCTATACTTCATTTTGGTTTTTATACTTTCCATGGCCTACACTGCATGAAAATCTGACCGTTTGTAGTTGAAGGTCGCGTCATAGGTCATACGAGCGGTTTTTGACCCTATAACGTCAGAATTCGATTAACCAATCAGCGCTGATGTTTCTAGTGGGTTACCAACAGTTCCTCCGTGGACCGCACGCCAAAAAAACTCGCCGTGACAGACCTATCATTGTCTAATCCCTCACTGGCCCGCCCTAGTGTAGAAAACTAAATTTTGAACTATAAAAAAAGAAACGAAATAGGATCTGGGTTTTAATCAGATTTACATTGTGCGTATATTAGATACCACAATTAATTATACCCCCCAAAAAAACACAACATTCTGTGAAACATAATTACACAAACACAATGTTCTGTATAAATATGATCAAATAACATAATTATATTTTGGCTTTAAATATTAAATAAACTATTCTTTAGACATTTATTCACAAGACAATTAAACCTATACTCAACTCTTTAGACCAACTCTCTAGATTTAAACGAATTGAAACACGATGGCCATTTAATCATTTAATTTAAAAATGATGAATCGAGGCTTAGTCTTGATTAACAAATACCGTTGCTACGATCATAAAACAATCTTGTCAAAGTATTCATTTTACATCATCTAATTTTGAACGGTCAGCTTTTCATCTAAATCTTACACAATGCATCTTTACCTCACTGCCGAATTCTTTCGTTTCCTAATCTCAATGCCGAATTCCTTCGTTCCCTTACTTTAATGCTGAATTCCTTCGTTTCCTTACCTCAGTGCCGAATTCCTTCGTTTCCATACCTCAGTACCGAATTGCTTAGTTTCCTTAGCTCAGTGCCGAATTCCTTCGTTTCCATACCTCAGTACCGAATTCCTTAGTTTCCTTACCTTAACGCCGAGTTCCTTCATTTCCTTAGCTCAGTGCCGAATTTCCTCGTTTCCTTAGCTCAGTACAGAATTACTTCGAATGTCGAATTCCCCCGTTTCCTTACCTCAATGCCGAATTCCTTCGTTTCCTTACTTCAATGCCGAATTCCTTCGTTTCCTTAGCTCAGTGCCAAATTTCTTCGTTTGCTCACCTCAGTGTTGAATTACCTCGTTTGCTTACCCAAATGCCGAATTTCTTCGTTTGCTTACTTCAATGCCGAATTTCTTCGTTTCCTTAGCACAGTGGCGAATTCCTTCGTGTGCTTACCTCAGTATTGAATTCCTTTGTAACATTACCATAAACTTGAGGTAACTCATTCAACTCTTGAACCACATCCGTCGGTTTAATATGAATTCCACAAGCAGCAAAATCTGAATTAAAATAGTTATACATGTATATACCTTGAAAACCTTGATTCGTACGTAACCCCCAAGCTGCCCCCTCTCTCTCTCCCTCCTCTCTCTATCTCTCTCTCTCTCTCTCTCCCTCTCTCTCTCTTAAACTAGAAACTGTTCTTGCTCTTAGAGCGACGTTGTGCAAGGAGGCATGTTAAAGCAATCAGGTGAAATGAGATGAATATGGTGTTTAACGTCTCACGTTTCTACACCGATCGGGCTAATGAAGGCGGCTTATATTAGGGGAATTTGCCCGAACAGCGGTGATACTGTCTGCTCTTATTTCACATTCCACCTGACATGAGTTCTTTTACGTGCACGCCAACATGTACACGGGCCTCTGTTTTTCGTAACACCCGATTTCTATGCTACTAGTTAGAGTTTTTATTTAGAAGATGTTCCTTGTTGTATTTGAAATGAACCTACTTTCGTTTCCTGGAGTGAGTGCTTCCACTAAAACACAGAACGGTTCTCTCTCAAACACATCATAAGCATCATCATTGTACTGGAACGTGTCTTCTATCACCACACGATCAGTTCTGAAATAAAATGAAATGGAGTTAAACGTCTCACGTTTCTGGGTCTACTGTGCTAATGAAGACGGGTATACGTCAGGCAGTGTGCGGACTGCCCCAGTACTCATGGAATTCCAATGGCCACGGGTTCCTTTACAAGCACGTTAAAGTGTACACGGGAGCTCGGGTTTTCGTCCTATCCACATAACTATACTTTTCTGGAGCTACTGGGCTAATGAAGACGGGCATACACCATGCAGTGTGCTATGAGGGAAATTTGTCCCGGACTGCCCCAGTACGACCTACTCATGGAATTCCAACGACCACGGGTTCCTTTACGAGCACTTTAAAGTGAACACGCGACCTCGGGTGTTCGTCCTACCCAGACAACTATACGTTTTCTTTTGCCAGGCACTCCGTCCGGCAACACTGACAGGCACTCCGTCCGGCAACACTGCCAGGCACTCCGTCCGGCAACACTGACAGGCACTCCGTCCGGCAACACTGACAGGCACTCCGTCCGGCAACACTGACAGGCACTCCGTCCGGCAACACTGACAGGCACTCCGTCCGGCAACACTGACAGGCACTCCGTCCGGCAACACTGACAGGCACTCCGTCCGGCAACACTGACAGGCACTCCGTCCGGCAACACTGACAGGGGGAACACACTCCAGAAAATACCGATGAATTTTCTAGGCCAACGCCCGGGTCAAACACGGGACCTCCAGAAATGAATTTCGTCGCCTCCACCCTCTTGACTAATGGTTTGGAAGGAGAGGAGAGGGGGAGAGGGGATGGGAGAGAGGAGAGGAGAGGAGAGGAGGGGCGGGAGGGGAGGGGAGGAGAGGGGAAAGCTGAGCAAAGGGCATGAGAAGAGGGGAGAGGAGAAAACAGAGAGGGGAGGGGAGAGGAGAGGGGGAGGAGGAGGCGGAGGAAGAGGGGAGAGGGAGGGGAGAGAAGAGATAAGGGAGGAGGCGAGGGGGGGGAGGAGGAGGAGGCGGAGGAAGAGGGGAGAGGGAGGGGAGAGAAGAGATAAGGGAGGAGGCGAGGGGGGGGGGAGGAGGAGGAGGAGGGGATGGGAGAGACGAGCGGAGAGGAGAGGAGGGGAGGGGGAGGAGACGAAAGGAGACGAGAGGGGAGGTGGAGGAGGAGGCGGAGGAAGAGGGGAGAGGGAGGGGAGAGAAGAGATAAGGGAGGAGGCGAGGAGGGGGGAGGAGGAGGAGGAGGGGATGGGAGAGACGAGCGGAGAGGAGGGGAGGGGAGGAGACGAGAGGGGAGGTGGAGGAGGAGGCGGAGGAAGAGGGGAGAGGGAGGGGAGAGAAGAGATAAGGAAGGAGACGAGAGGGGAGGTGGAGGCGGAGGAAGAGGGGAGAGGGAGGGGAGAGAGGAGATAAGGGAGGAGGCGAGGAGGGGGGGAGGAGGAGGAGGAGGGGGGATGGGAGAGAGGAGCGGGGGGGGGGGGGAGGAGACGAAAGGAGACGAGAGGGGAGGGGACAGGATAGGAGAGCAGAGCAAAGGGAAGGAGAAGAGATGAGAGGAGAAAACAGGGAGGGACAGAGGAGAGGAGAGAAAAGAGAGGGTAGAGATGATATTTACCTGTAGAAGTATGCATATTGTTCTTTATACCTAAGGGATCTTCCCAGTCTCTCACTTATTACATGCTCATAGTTAGGGTTTATTCTGGTGGTAATTAAAACAGACAAACATATCAAAATAATACATATATGTGTGCGAGTTAATTGTATTTTACGTCCGCTTCCACCGAGCTGATATCGCAGACAATAACATGTTATGTATACATGGTGCAATAATTTAAAAAGGGATTAAAAGAATCGTTATATATATATATATATATATATATATATATATATATATATATATATATATATATATATATATATATATATATATAAGACAGTAAAATATATTTACTCTTTCCTTATAAACCTATAACGGTAAATCTCTTTCATTTTTTGGGTATATTCTATGTCTGGGGTATATTCTATGTCTGGAATAATTTGCGGTCTGAATGTCGGGGCGGCTTTGATACAGGGGAATTTATGGTTATTCTTCTGAAAGTTTTTCTTTAAACCTGTAACAGGTTATTCTTCCAGGGTAGGTTTTTTTCCCTATAAGAAAACATGATATAAGGTTTTTTTCTTACTGGAATTTTGGGATATCCTCATTTTACGTACATGTAAACATAGACGGTTTATAAGCAAGATAAAGTCCTCGACTTCGGTTATGCTGGGGAAGAAAGACTTCAGAAAAAAACCTTCATAAAGTCTGTCATTGAGTCGACTGGCGTGGTTTCGAATCCCCGGTTGTACGTGACAAGGAGTTGGGTCGCCTGTCCAACCTCGTGGGTTTTCTCCGGGTCCTCCGGTTTCCTCCCACCGTTAAAGACCCCTATGCGCAAGCGAATTATTGAAATGAAATTAAACCATATGTTAGTCCCGAAAAGACCTAGTTTGTGTCGAGTGGACGTTAAACCCCATTTATCTCTCTCTCTCTCTCTCTCTCTCTCTCTCTCTCTCTCTCACTCTCTCTCAGAAAAAACCCTCGACAGAGAAACCTCGCTCTGCCGGCCTCGGTTTTTCTTTTACTCGGGTTATTTGCTTCAGTCTTTCTTTCCCCAGCATAATCTCAGTCACGTGCTTTATCCTATACATAACACCGGATATCACTTATAGCGTCTCTGTGATAAGGGAAGGGGTGGGGTGTAATGTATCGTAGACATTTTATTTGGGTCATTTGGATTTCATCGTGTGCGATGCCGGAGGGAGAGGGGGGGGGGGGGGCGCGTGTGTGTGTGGGTGTGTGTGAGTATTATTTGCCCAAACAGAGACGTTTTTGAAATCCAAACTGTCAAGGGACACTTTTACGTGTGCGGTCACTTTATACATGCGCCTTACAGGATTGTTCTTGTTAGTGAGCTAGCACGTTACTCGCTGAGCCACTGTGAATCCCGAGAACTTTCAAGAAGAGGATCCAATATTAATGTTATACTTTTCGATAAAAACTATTATTAATAGCTTCATGGCGTTGTGCCAGTGTTTTTTTAAAAAAAAAATGGCTGTGAATTGCAGTAATCGAGAGAGAAAAGTGGGGTTTAACGTCCTCTCGACAGAAAGTAGGTAATGTCTGACTAACATATGGTTCAATTTTATTCAATAATTCGTTTGCACTGAGGAAACTATAGGTGACGCGGTAAACCCCACGAGGTTGGGCAGGCGACCCAACTCCTTGTCACATACAGGTGGGAAATCGAAACCATGCCACTTGACCTTATGACCTAAAGCGCACGACTTCAACCACTCACCAACACGGGCATATCTTGAGGATCAGCTCAGATAAACGCCTTTGGCCCTACACCCATTTATGGAAGACCAAGCAGCTCTTTATTTAGTGTTTTTTAATTAAACAAATAATTTAAGAACACTGAATAAAGAGCTGTTTGGTGTTCCATATCCATTTAAATAAAGACTTGTACTAGAGGAATACGGTAGAATTTTCTATTGTTTGATTTGTATAATGTCTACTTACTCCTGCACCAACGCTAACAGCTGCCCGATGGCTGTTCCAGTTGCATCCCGGATTTCCTGTAGTAACATGACGTCATATCGAGTAACAATCTATAAAAAAAGATAATTAGTTTCCAATCACTTTTATTCCGCAGTTTAACCTCCGCTTTCTTCGAGGGTGATATCGCGGACAATTCTCATTTTTATTTTCTTAGCGCACGCGCAGCGGTATTTCCTCTGGGAAGAAACCGGAGTACCAAGAGTAAACCCACGAGGTTGAGAAGGTGCACCTATCTCCAAGCCACATACGCTCACTCCAGGCAGCGAAACCACAGCCGCAAGCCAGAGGTGACCGACCAGCTAGAAATCGGAGCGCGACACTTTAGACCATTAGACCATCCCAACCCCCTCCCAACCTCCTCCCAACCTCCACTAATCCGATCATCAGCTCGAATTTAACGCCGTCTGAGTACGCATCTTTGTCTACGGTGGGAAGCCACGTAGTTCCCCCTTGCCAGTGGTGTAAGACGGAAGGCCCATAGTCGTTCGGATGGGACGAAAAGTCATTGTCCTGTGTAAATATTGGCGTGTACGTAAAAAAACACTTTGCAGTTGGAATTCGATGTAAGAGTAGAGAGTAGTTGGGTTTGGTGATGCCCGTGGTCACGTGGTCAACCCCTAGATTGTATGCCCTCAAAATTCAAGTATAGGGTCCAGTATTCAAAAATGTGAGGAAGGAATATTTTTTACATATGTATAAAGATACGTACTAAACTTTTTGTTCGAATTAAGTAGGACAGCTGTAGCACTACCCTGCTACATATCTGTATAAAGATACGTACTAAACTTTTGTTCGAATTAAGTAGGACAGCTGTAGCACTACCCTGCTACATATATGTATAAAGATACGTACTAAACTTTTTGTTCGAATTAAGTAGGACAGCTGTAGCACTACCCTGCTACATATCTTTTGTTTTGGCCTCTGGTCGTCTAGGTTTCTTTCGGGCCTGGATATTATTGAAATTCTCCACTCTTTTAGGACTTCACCCGGACTTCACGTTATGTACGTATTTACAGTAGCCAAATCGTATGTTTTATCAGGAACAATACAATAGTTTCAAGTATACAGTGTTATATGGAGGCGGGTTACATAGGTTTAAACAAAGGCATACATAAAAGTCACCCTCTTCACCCCCAGGCCTGTACAGTCTAAATAAAATTGAACCGTGTGTTAGTTCCGAAATGACCTAGTTTGTGTCGAGTGGACGTTAAACCTCTCTCTCCCCCCTCTCTCTCTCTCTCTCTCTCTCTCTCTCACACACACACAGTCATGTACAGTCTAACCAGTGTGGCTAGACTCTGGAAACCCCTAAACACCATGGTCCTATCTGTTTCACAAAGCATTACGAAAGTATTCTAATTTCTCAGTAAAAGATGACTGCCTTCAACACATGATCTCATATCATTGGCTCAATGGCGCGTGCATTGTTTACATAAGACGTTACTGATTCGAGCGGAATGGCGCCTTTTACTCATTTTAATACCTATTTACACTAAAATAGGAAATCATTTTTATTAATTTTTCTAATACATTAAAGAAAATGTTTTAGAATTGAATTTGTCGCAGGAAAAAAGTTAATATTTTTGGCTCACTAAGTCGCATCGATATCATCCTTATCAGTGTCGCGGCCTAGCGAATATTCACTACTGATCAATGTGACCATGGTCGTCTTAGAATCAAATGGCTGTCTGATTATTCGAGTAGGCCACAGTGTCGGTGTCCTGGCAAAGTTTCCCTCATAGCACACTGTATGGCGTATGCCCGTTTTCAGTAGCCCTGTATAGGAGCAGAACATTAGGACGTTAAACCCCATTTCATTTCATTTTAAAAAAAAAAAAAAAAAAAAAATCCAACCGAAACAAAAACCAACACTAACCTTAACTAAATGTTTAACGATGTCTTCATTCTCCATCTTCGCTCTACCAAAAGCTCTGACATTGAAGGCACCAACACGTAGAGGAGGATGGTTAAGGGTCGAAGATTCACCGAGGTTAGCGAGGATGCTTAACAACAACAGTCCAGCGACAAACATATTGACGGATAGATTAGAGCTAGAGATGGATATCTTCTGATGCTGTGGTAATCTGGGTTGAAACAGCAGTCAATGAAATTAGCAGATATCCACATGTCTTATATAAGCAAACAAAAGTCCCGATTGCCAAGACACAATTTAAAAAATATATATATATTTTAGTAATTTTCCTCTTTTATGTACATTGTTGAAAATAATTAATATTTATTCTAAACAGATGTAAAAACTAACAGTAACTCTCGACTTGAAGTAATATGTTATCGATAAATATAAATATGAAAATGGTGGGTATTTAACTTAAAGGGGACCTCACTTTGGCAATATTTATGTCGGTCCAATTCGGTGATTCAGTGAGTTTGACGTTGGGTATCCGGATTTCGCTTCCGGTGCTAGCCACACCAATTCCTCCTCGGTATCTTCCATCCCGGGTCCTGCGGTCTAGTGGTTTAACGCGTGCGCGTAAAATCATAAGGTCTGTTATTGAGTCTAGTGGCGTGGTTTCGAATCCCCGGTTGTACGTGACAAGGAGTAGGGTCGTCTGTCCAACCTCGTGGATTTTCTCTGGGTCCTCCGGTTTACTCCGACTGCTAAAGACGTCTACGCGCAAGCGAATTATTGAAATAAAATTGAACCATATGTTAGTGCCGGAATGACCTAGTTTGTGTCGAGTGGACGTTACCCTCTCTCTCTCTCTCTCTCTCTCCCTCTCTCTCTCTCTCTCTCTCTCTCTCTCCAGCATAAGAGAAACAATCATTCCTAGATTGAAGAAGGAAAATAAATGGGGTTTAACGCCGTCGGTTTCTGCACCAATCGGGATAATGGCGACGGTGAGTTTTTGTCCTTCTGATGCACGGAATTTTGGGTAAACCACAAGAAACGCCAACGCTGATTGATTAATCAATGTCTGACGTCATAGGGTCAAAAGCCGTTTCTATTACACCTGACGCGACCTTCCACTAGAACTAGTCAGATCTTCATGTAGTGTAGGCCATCGAAATATAGATTGACTTTTAATCGAATTCCATGTTGGTTAGTGGAAAGACGAATACAAAACAATGAAGATCAATAGAAAGTAATATGAAATTTAGACGGTCATGAATAGGAGTGGGGTCATTTGTCCAACCTCGTGGGTTTCGTCTGGGTCCTCCTGTTTCCTCACACTTTTAAAGAACCCTATGTGTAAGCGAATTTTGAAGTGGATATCTACCGTATAATAGTCCCGAAATGGCCCGTTTCTTGTCGAATGGATGTTGAACTCGATCTGTCTATCTTCCGGCTTGGAGAGAGAGAGAGAGAGAGGGGGGTTTAACGTCCACTCGACACAAACTAGGTCATTTCGGGACTAACATATGGTTTAATTTTATTTCAATAATTCGCTTGCGCGTAGTGGTCTTTAGCAGTGGGAGGAAACTGGAGGACCCGGAGAAAACCTACCAGGTTGGACAGGCGACCCTACTCCTTGTCACGTACAACCGGGGATTCGAAACCACGCCCGTTGACTCAATCTTTCGGCTTGGATTCAGTCGTATAAATAGAGGCCCGTCAAAAGAATAACAAGGAGGCGGAGGTGGGGCGGGGTGGGTGGGGTGGGGCTGCTTAGTGGTTTAGTGCAATAGTGGTCTAGAGTATCGAGCTTCAAGCTCTAGCAGGCTGATTACCCCTGACTTGCGATCGTGGTTTCGATCCCTGGTATGAGCCAACGTCTTACTCACTGAGCCACCGTGGCTTCCAGGTTATAGAAAGTAAGACACCTTTTTTGTGTGTGGTCCGGATATTTAGTTCTGTACTTGCCTCTTTTATACTTCGTATAATGTAGGATTAGTTTGAAATTTCAGCATTAATATACATTTTTAAAGACTGAAGTCATCACAATAGACTTATTTTATTTATTTGGGTTTGTAAATAAAAACTTTTTTTTTTTTTATCTCATTCTCAATGATCATGTTGAATATATGGCACAGGACCACACAAAAAGACATTCTTCTTAATTTATTTGTTTTTGAAATTTGAAATTTCAAATCACACAATCACATAAAAGAAAAAATAATCTAAAAAGTCAATAAGCAAAAATTAAAAAACAAACAAAACCCTATATTTGATCATTAGTGCATTGGATTTCATGCAACCTATACGCTAGTCCGCTACTACCCAGAGAATTTATAATATTATTTCGTTTCGTTTAAATTCGTTTACTTTTTAATGCTTCTGGCTTTAATTCCCCTTGAGCTATTCTTCTATGCTATAGCAAGTACTGTATTCGTTTCACTGAGATATTTTGTATGAAATTTTGTTTCAAAAAGCAATAAAAATGAAATGAAATGGGGTTTAACGTCCTACTGTTCTGCTCCTACTGGGCTAATGAAGACTGACATACGCCATACAGTGTGCTATGAGTGATATTTTGCCCGGACAGCGACACTATGGCCTACTCTTATATCTAATTCCAAAAGCCAAGGGATCTTTTGCGTGCACGCCAATGTAAACACGGGTCCTCCGTTTTTGTACCATCCGAACGACTAGACAGCTGTAATTGTCAGGCCCTCCGTTCTGCCCCAATGACAAGGGGAAACCACGCCGGAAAATCTCGATGAACTTTCTCGGCCAATGCAAGGATCGAACACGCGACCTCCACGCTAGCGAGCCAGCGTCTTACCCACTTAGCCACCGTGGCTCCCAAAAAATAATATATAGTTCCCGTATTCATTAATTGGTGTATAAGTATCAATCCCTGTTTTTGTCTAGAAAGTTTCCCCGAATATTCCAGGCATGGTTTCCCTTCGTAACTAGAAGAATGACGGAAGGCCTGACAACAACAGCTGTCTAGTCGTTCGGGTGTTACGAAAAACAGAGGCCCGTGTACATGTTGGCATGCACGTAAAAGAACTCATGTCAGGTGGAATGTGAAATAAGAGCAGACAGTATCACCGCTGTTCGGACAAATTCCCCTAATATAAGCCGCCTTCATTAGCCCGATCGGTGTAGAAACGTGAGACGTTAAACACCATTTCATTTCATTTCACCTGATTGCTTTAACATGCCTCCTTGCACAACGTCGCCCTAAGAGCAAGAACAGTTTCTAGTTTAAGAGAGAGAGAGAGAGAGAGGGAGGGAGAGAGAGAGAGAGAGGTAGTTCAACGTCCACTCGTCACAAACTAGGTTATTTCGGGACTAACATACTAACATATGGTTCAGTTTTTATTTCAATAATTCGCCTGCAGTGGGAGAAAACCGGAGGACCCAGAGAAACCCCACGAGGTTGGACAGGCGACCGGTCGGGGAATCGAAACCACGCCAGTTGACTCAATGACAGACCTTAAGATACAGCGCTTACGTGCTAATCATTCGGCCATCCACCTCACCCGCCTCACCCCCGATCCTCCACCCCCACCCTTATTTATAATAGACGAAAGTCGTATCATATCGTCTAAAAAGCGCATTTGTAAATAATATAGGGGTGTAATGTTAATATAAATACCAACTTGACTGATGCACGATATATATATTTTTACTTTCATGACAATAGATGAATCAATACGAAAAAAAAAAGTTTTAAATATATTTCGACTTTCACGCCCATGTGAAATGTTTTATCATTTTAATATAAATTAAATTATTGCGAACATTTAAAGCGATAGTTGCATTTTTTTTTTTAAATGTCATAATATGTTTAAAATATGTTCAAAGTATGCCTTTAAAACACATGGAATATATAGCCTATAGGGTACTACCTTTTTAAAAAATAATCCTATTCAATCTATAATTCACTACTTTCGTTTAAGCAATTGACAAATATAGCATTTTCAAGTTTCAAAGTCAACGTTCAGGGTTTGGAAATTCCCCCGAGGTTACCCAGTATCAAGGGGGTAAACCAGGGCTAAATCTATTTGTTAAGGTCAGCTCAATTTTTGTCAAGGTCGTTGAGATGTAAATAAGGTTAGGACCTGTGATTGTTGGCGAGATTGTAGGCTAGGTCCAGGATTAGGGTTAGGGTTGGTATTAGCGCTAGCCCTGTTTACATCTCGTGACCCATCACGAAAAATTGAGCTAGCCTTATCATTTAGCACTAACCGTAAATCACGCATCATTATCCTTATCTGTTCACCAACAGATCTTGACAATCAAGACAATCTATTATGTAGACTTAGTTTTCCAGTGAAAAGAAATGGCACAATTACCAAATTGATTTTTTTCAGTGCTAGAATTATATAGAAATAATTATGTATTGACTTTCATAGAACAATTGCAATTAAGTAATAAATATTAAATCCAAAACGATATATAAATAAAATAAAAAAAATCAAATTTATTAAAATACAAAACGATAAATGTATTAAAGTAGCATGAGATAAGATTAGATACAGAGCTGACAATTCTAGTAGTAATAATTTAAAAAAAAATAATGTAAAGGGAATATGCTGAAAATATCAGTCAAATTGCTTCACTCTGAACCGTGATATTAGCGATTCAATTTTATACTAGCCTCGAACGTCATTACTAACTTTAGTACGATTATAAACAAAGTCTCGATTATCCATTTTTACACTAAAGCATCCATCACAAAACGTATTCAAATCCAGTAAATATCACAGGCTAACGATTGCATCGAAATTTGATGGTGGTCTTGATAAGTTAATTAATTTCTAATTAATAATTTAGATAACATTTAAGGCCTAAATAAAGGCCCGATATAGGCAGATTTAGCTCTTGCATAATGTATGTTTAAGGAAAACTGTAGATCCACCACAATCACAAATAGTAAAAGTGAAGTATAAATTGACATTGATTTAATGTAGTAGTTATAGTTATACAATGACAAAGCTCTTAAACCAACGGAGTCTTCAGGCTTATTTTAAAACTTCTCATGATCTGTCATTGAGTCAACTGGCGGGGTTTCGATTCCCCGCTTGAACGTGATAAGGAGTAGGATCGTCTGTCCAACCTCGTGGATTTTCTCCCGATCCTCCGGTTTCCTCCCACCTGGTAAAGCCCCCGACGCGCGAGCGAATTATTGAAATAAATTTGAACCATATGTTAGTTCCGAAATGACCTAGTTTGTGTCGAGTAGACGTTAGACGTTAAACCGTCAAAGGTGCAACAGTATCTAGTAGTGTGGATGGGACGAAAAGACGAGGTCCCATGTGCACATTGGCGTGTACGTAAAGGACAGTTGGAATTCGAGGTTAGCATTGATTGTTTTGTGTATGCCTTATTTCATTAGCCCGTTAAAAGATAAATCACATTTCATTTCATTAATTGTGTCTTTAGTAGCCTACTCTTATGGGAGCCACGGTGGCTAGGTGGGTAAGGCGCGGGCTCGCTAGTCTGGAGTTCGCGTGTTCGATCCATGCTCTGGCCAAGAAAGCGGCTGACAAAGACACGTGACAAAAAAGGACGTGTGTGTATACATTGACATGCACGTAAAAGATCCCTTGGCAGTTGGATTTCGATATAAAAGTAGGCCAAAGTGCCGCTGCCCGGGCAAAATTTTCCTCATAGCACAATGTATGTCGTATGCCCGTCTTCCGTCTTCATTAGCCCAGTCGGAGCAGAACAGTAGGACGTTAAACCTCATTTCATTTCGCCTATGATGACCTTGGTTATAGTCATTTCAACTAGAGCTAAACCGATCTGGGTTAAGTAAATAAATCAAATGTTTGCTTTGGTGAGTCGGTGTATATTACAAGATGCCAGGTCAAAGGTCAGGGTGTATGGATATAAAACTGTTGTATAACATATTAAAGACGGAATCCTTTAATGGGTCCTTGGACTTAAAAATCTTTTTATAATTTAAATATACATTATGTAAGATTTAGAGAAAGGGCTAGCCATTCTTGCTATAATAGTTCCAAAATAGATAATGCAAAACGAATCTATTGAAAATTTCATTTAAATCACTCTATTGCGAGCGAAGATATTAGCCTTTGAAGGTTTGACAAGACGTGTTCAATAATTTTAACCACCGTACTGGCTGTTCGAAGCTAAGTCTCGCTTCTCCATTTTTAGCTTAAATCAAAATATGTCTGAACAGTTCTAATCTATTTAATATCGGAGAATTCCGATGCCATCGAGAGTTGATTATGGTCTTGTTTTGTTAATTAATGTCTAATTAATAATTTAGAAAACATTTCAGGTCTAAAGAAAGAACTGCAAAAGGCAGATTTAGCTCTTGCATAATGTATGTTTAATACAGTTTTTTTCTCATCAAATTAGTGTGTTGGATAGCCGAGTGGTCTAATGTGGGTCAAGTATCGTTTCGATACCACGCTTGTATGTGACATGTATAAGATTGTATGACTAATATCGTGGGTTTCCTGTGGGTTCTACTCGTTGTGCAGGGTTTAAATAAAGTGCTGGTCGTTTTTGTTATAATACAGTAGAATCTGTATTAATTAGCCACTCAGGGAATTTTCATGACTGGTTGCTTAATGAGGGTGACCTCTTGTTTAATTACGAAAATAGATGATGAAAAATAAATATATTGAAAATTTCAGTCAAATTACTTTATCGATGTTTGAAGTTCACGGCCACTATTAACGTTTAAAGCAGATATGTCGGACAGTGTCTAATCCATCCATTCAATATCTCAGCCATCTGATGCCAAGGGATCTTTCAGTGCACGCCAATTTTATATACGGGACCTTGGTTTATCGTCCCATCCAAACGACTAGACATCTGTCCTTGCCAGGCCCTCCGTCTGGCATCATTGACAAGGCGGAATCACCCTTTGCCTGTCGTACAACGCGCCTGTGTGAAGCAAACGGTCTGGCTATTTTATATATAAACGGATTTGGGGTATAAGAGTCGCTCTAACCAGAGACTGGCATAGGCCTGTTGGCGCCACACTACCACTTCCGGACTTATGGTACTTCCGGTGCAAGTTGGAGAAAACTCACGAAGTTAGGCAGGATTTTCCAGGACAGGTTCCACTTGTCAGTAAGACACAGGGTCCGTTTTAAAGATCCCGTGATATGAATTTAAAGAATCGTTGGTGAAATCCCCACTGACCAGGTAAAATTGCCATCGTTGCACTACGGCCTACTCTTATATCGAATTCTAACTGATCTTATACGTGTACGCCAATGTGTACACGAGACCTCTGTTTTACGTACCATCGGTACGACTATACGTTGTCCCTTGCCAGTCCCTCTGTCATGTACCACTGATAAGGGGGGGGGGGGTACCAAGCAGGAATCAAACACGGGATCGCCAGGTTACCGAGCCAAGGTATTATCCACTAATCTGAGTCACCGTGCCCCCCCCCCCCCATTAAAAATAAATAAATGAAATGGGGTTTAACGTCCTATTGTTCTGCTCCAAACTGGGCTAATGAAGACGGGCATACGCCATACAGTGTGCTATGAGGGAAATTTTGCCCGGGCAGCGGCACTATCGCCTACTCTTATATCGAATTCCAACTGCCAGGGGATATTTTACGTGCATTCCAATATATACACGGAACCTCGGTTTTTCGTTTCATCCGAAGGACTGGACTGCTGTCCTTGCCAGGCCCTTAGTCCTGCATCACTGACAAGGGGAAAATCTGGATGAACTTTCTCGGCCAATACAGGGATCTACTCCTGTACCTTTAAGATAACCAAGTGATAGAGACACCGATGGCTATTGTACTATAAGATATCGAAATATAGGTCAGCGAATATTATCTTTTCATTTATCATTGCATATAACATAGGACAGCTGAACAACACGCGAACAGGTAAGTTGTTTGTAAGCTCTATATATTTACCTTTATATAGCAAATAATGTTGTATTTAACAACGTGACGATTGACCATGTCCGTGGCCGTTTCCATAATTTCATCTTCTGAAATTCACGACCATAATCACTGACATTATTGACCGTAAACTCTATCTAGCCCACTGTCCTCATTATCCCAGTCGGTACAGAAGAGTAAGACGTTACATCTCCCATTCCCATTTAATGTATATGTCGCCTGCATCAAGTAATGTTCTTACAACCCCTCCCCCCTCCCCAAAGCACTTGTTATTTTTCTGGGAAGATCAGGAGGTTTATAATCTTTTCGATGTAACTGATTGTGATAATTTAACCAGTACGATAGCAATGTCAGCTAGATTAGATTAGATACGTGAAGAATTAGGCGTGCTTTATTAGTGGTTATATCATTGTGGTTATATTCTAGTCCATGGTTTTAAAATACGGATGTGACGTCATCCTTTGATGCTGGTGTGCCGTTATTTCAAATAATTGTACTTATCGAGCTTAAGACATTGCGTAATATATTAAAACAACATCTCGGGACTGACGGCCTTCGTGTTGTTTCAATATATTACTTATGTCTCGCTTGACCTTTAAACCACACATATTGATAGCAGTTAATCAATGAACGATATTAGTGACACAGTAAAATAGTGTGGTACATTATTTGAATCAACTGGCGGGGTTTCGATATCCCGGTTGTACGTGATAAGGAGTAGGGTCGCCTGTCCATCCTCGTGGGTTTTCTCCGGGTCCTCCGGTTTCCTCACACTGCTAAAGACCCCTAGCGCAAAAGCGAATTATTGAAATAAAACTGATTCATGTGTTAGAGAATTCTAAGAGCAACTTCACGTTTAACACTACCCGGTCACTGACCCGAACTGACGATCAGAACTGTCATTACGAACATAAATCGATTTTAAAAACATACCCTGGTGTGTGCAAATATTATAAATAAATAAAAAATGAAGAATTCTTTTTATACTAATTTAAATGTTTAATCACCTGGATAAACACGACTAATGAATAAACAATGCAATATTTTTATAACAATAGTATAGTTTATATATTATCCCAGCTGTTTAATGCCTGGTTAAACACGACTAAACAGCGTAGAAAGAACACAGTCATGCTGATGAATTAATATAGAGAAAAACAATAGAAAACTGCATGCCATTGCTCGGTCATCTATACAGGACGTCAGTTGAAATTGGCCTACAAATTTAGATGGAGAGAGAGAGAGAGAAATGGGGTTTAACGTCCATTCGACACAAACTGGGTCATTTTCAATAATTCGCTTCGGGGTCTTTAGCAGTGGGAGGAAAACCCCCCAGGTTGGACAGGCGACCCTACTCCTTGTCACGTACAACCGGGGAATCGAAACCACAACACGCATGCGCAAAACATTCAGCCATCCAACCCCCGAATTTGGATGGAGTCGCTTCTTAGTACAATACTTTAACCTAGCGACTTGCTTGTATAGAAGAGTGGGGGGGGGGGTATTGGACGCGTGCGCATTGTACCAGAAGGTCCTTCATTGAGTCAACTGACGTGGTTTCGATTCCCCGCTTGTACGTGGCAATGAGTAGCGTCTAACCTCGTGGATGATTTACTCCGGGTTCTCCGGTCTCCTCCCACTGCTAAAGACCACGACGCGCAAGCGAATTATTGAAATAAAATTGAACCATATGTTAGTCCCGAAATGAACTAGTGTGTGGCAAGTGGACGCTACCCCCCTCTCTCTCTCTTTCTCTCTCTATCTCTCTCTCTCTCTCTCTGACGATGGCTTATTACCAACATTGTGTACCCTGTTTCTCCTGACTCCGCATATGAATTAATCAATCTTATTAAAACACAGATCCTATTTCGTTTCGTTTTTTATTGTTCAAAATTTCTTTTTACTTGTCTTTACTATGCTGAGATCTGGAATGTTCGACGTCACAGGGTCAAACGTCGCCCGTACAAAACCTGACGCGACCTTCCAGTACAACCGGTCAGTTCTTCATATAGTGCAGACCATCGAAAGTATAAAAAAACGAAACGAAATATAGATCTGTATTTTAATCCAATTGGTGAATTAATGACATAATAAAAATAGGATTGAATAATTTTGATGTAGCATTTATAATCTTTTTTTCAGACGTTCATTTATCTTCATTTGCATTATTAGTCCCACGATAACTCTGACAACGTGATCATGGAGAATATACCCCAGGCAGCACCAGGCGTAAGGAGTGCCGATTCGTTTCGTCAAGAAAGGGCTTTCGTCAATGGTGAATGGATTTCGGCGAAATCAGGCGCCACGTATCAAGGTAATTAATGGGAGATTTCATTCATTCATTCATTCATTCATTCATTGGTGTGGTTGTTTTTTTTATTCATGAATTTATGAAAGGGTATCGCTGCCAATATTAAATGTTCTGCGACAATGTCGTTTCCATTGATTATATGTAAAAAGAACAATGTACAAAGTCATAATACCGATAATGATAAAGTCAAAATACCTCTATGGCAAGAGTTAAAGGTAAAACGTCAAATGTTAAGTGTTAAATGACAAATGTTTTGTGGGAAAATGCTTTTTTGACGTGTCTACATTTTACATTTCTCTCATTACATTTTACATTTGCGCCCTGCCACATCCCATTTGTCCCTCGCGCTTTCTACATAGCATCTTTCGCACAGCATCAACTTTCATATGCAAATGTAGGATATCACGTGACTTATTAACATATACGGAAACCCGGCACTCTCTCGCTTGCACCACCTCTTTGCATATAGCGTTAATAGCATACCGAATTGTAATAACATTCAAATAAATAAGCATGAGGTGGGAGGGAGGGCGATCATCATTATCAGATGCAATTAATTGAAATGTCTGCACACACGAAGAGTTCATGATATAGTCAACAAGTTTCGTGAATTGTAATATTTAAAAAGAATAAAAATGAAACGAAATGAAATAAAATGTTGTTTACCGTCCTGCTTTTTTTCACCGACAGGGCTTATGAACACGGACAAAGTATATAACATCAATCGGTTACGTTTTAGACGATTACAGAGGTTTGGTAGAATTCTCAACGTTACTTCATTTCTTTTAATTACAGTTATCAACCCATCGAACCAGGCTGTACTTGGTGTTGTTCCAGATATGAATGAAGAAGACACCAACGCTGCTATAGAAGTCGCTTATAAAACATTTCAAACATGGCGAAATGTCACACCAAAGGTTGGTGTTCCGATTTTATTTATTTAATCACAACTTGTATTTATTGCTTTAGGGGCGTTTCCAGTCGGATCAAAAATTGACTTGACTAATCAGGAGGTTCCGGGTTCGATCCCGTTATTGGCTGAGAGGAGATATCGGGTTCGATCCCTTTATTGGCTGAGAGGAGCTCCGGGTTCGATTCCGTTGTTGGCTGACAGAACGTCTCGAGTTCGATCCCGTAGTTGGCTGTGAGGAGGTCCCGGGTTCGATCCCGTAGTTGGCTGGGAGGAGGTCCCGGGTTCGATCCCGTAGTTGGCTGGGAGGAGGTCCCGGGTTCGATCCCGTTGTTGGCTGGGAGGAGGTCCCGGGTTCGATCCCGTAGTTGGCTGGGAGGAGGTCCCGGGTTCGATCCCGTTGTTGGCTGGGGGGAGGTCCCGGGTTCGATCCCGTAGTTGGCTGGGAGGAGGTCCCGGGTTCGATCCCGTAGTTGGCTGGGAGGAGGTCCCGGGTTCGATCCCGTAGTTGGCTGGGAGGAGGTCCCGGGTTCGATCCCGTAGTTGGCTGGGAGGAGGTCCCGGGTTCGATCCCGTTGTTGGCTGGGGGGGGGGGAGGTCCCGGGTTCGATCCCGTTGTTGGCTGGGAGGGGGTCCCGGGTTCGATCCCGTAGTTGGCTGGGAGGAGGTCCCGGGTTCGATCCCGTTGTTGGCTGGGGGGGAGGTCCCGGGTTCGATCCCGTTATTGGCTGAGAGGAAGTATCGGGTTCGATTCCGTTATTGGCTGAGAAAAGGTCCCGGGTTCGATCCCTTTACTGGCTGAGAGGAGGTCCCGGGTTCGATCCCTTTATTGGCTGAAAGGAGATATCGAGTTCGATTCCGTTATTGACTGAGAGGAGGTCCCGGGTTCGATTCCGTTATTGGCTGAAAGGAAGTATCGAGTTCGATACCGTTATTGGCTGAGAGGAGGTCCCGGGTTCGATTCCGTTATTGGCTGAAAGGAAGTATCGAGTTCGATACCGTTATTGGCTGAGAGGAGGTCCCGGGTTCGATTCCGTTATTGGCTGAAAGGAAGTATCGAGTTCGATACCGTTATTGGCTGAGAGGAGGTCCCAGGTTCGATTCCGTTATTGGCTGAAAGGAAGTATCGAGTTCGATACCGTTATTGGCTGAGAGGAGGTCCCGGGTTCGATACCGTTATTGGCTGAAAGGAGGTCCCGGGTTCGATTCCGTTGTTGGCTGACAGAACGTCTCGAGTTCGATTCCGTTATTGGCTGAGAGGAGGTTCCGGGTTCGATCCCGTTATTGGCTGAGAAAGTTTATCGAGATTTTATTGCCCGGTTTCCATTTGATAGTGATGCAGTGCATGGTCTGGAAACGCTTCTAGTTTTCCGGACTGGAAAAACGAAACCAGAACCCGATTTCACAAAATATTCTCAGACTTAACTTAAGAATTTACTCAAAATTTTTTTGCCTTATTTAACTTAATTATAGCCTTTTATAAAACTTTTGTTATTTTAATGTATCAATAAGAAACTATTTGCAAAGTTGTATGTTTCTGGATCAAATATATTTCTGATAAACATACGTTTGAGAATGCTTTGTGAAACAGGGGCGAGATCCCATGCATATCAGTCCCAGTAAATACAAGATCTATTGGCATTTAAAAATCAAATTGAACCCGACACACTGCATTAGACCGGATATTGACGTAACTAAGTCGTCACACCCCATTTCATTTTGTATATTGTTCTATACAGGAAAGAAGTACGATATTAAAACGATGGTTTGAACTCACGGTATTACATAAAGAAGAACTGGCAAAACTCATCACCGCAGAAATGGTAAGTCATGCTTTAGTAATCTCGATTATAATATCATAAGTTAGAATGTAGCATTTAACATTTTAGTTCAGTGAGTAACACGTTGGCTCGGTACCCTGGCGGTCCCGAGTTCGATAGTGGTGTTGACCGAGAAAGTTACCAATCCCCCCCCCCCCCCTGTCAATATAGTCGTTCGGATGGGACGAAAAACCAGGCCCCGTTTATACATTTGCTTTCACGTAAAAGAACAATTGGCAGTCGGAGTAAAACCCCATTTCATGCATGAAGCCCATTTTCTAATTGATGCAGGACGGAGGGCCTGGCAAGGACAGCTGTCTAGTCCTTCGGATGAGACGAAAAATCGCGGTCCCGTGTATACATTGGAATGCACGTAAAAGATCCCTTGGCAGTTGGAATTCGATATAAGAGTAGACGCTAGTGCCGCTGCCCGGGCAAAATTTCCCTAATAGCACACTGTATGGCGTATGCTCGTCTTCATTAGCCCAGGTTAGGAGCAGAACAGTAGGAGGTTAAACCCCATTTCATTTCATTTTCCATTTTCTAATTTTAAACTTTTTTTAAAATGATTATGTGATTTATTCCCCAGGGCAAGCCCATGGCGGATAGTTTAGGTGAGATTGGTTTTGGTGGATCTTTCATAGAATGGTATGCAGAGGAGACGAAGCGAATATATGGTGACGTCATCAACGGAAGTAACCCTCAGCGACGTCTGTTGGTATTAAAACAGCCAATTGGTGTAGCTGCAATGATAACGCCGGTATGATTAGTAATCTTAACTTTACCTCGACTATGTTAGTCGACTTTGGTGTATCATGGAAGTCTTGTTGTCATTAACAATTTGCTAAGTTCATTAATTGCAAAGCTCCTAAAAATCAGTCTCGGGACTAAAATTTGTATAAAAGGACTATAAAGTAAATATCAAGGGAAAATAAAGTAAATATCAAAGGAATATAAAGTAAAAAATAAAGTAAAACTCAATGGACTTAAAGTAAAAAAAAAGCAAATATCAAAGACATATAAAGTAAAAATAATGTAAATATCAAAGGAATATAAAGTAAAAAATAAATTAAAACTCAAAGGAATATAAAATAGAAATAAAGTAAATATCAAAGGAATATAAAAAAATAAAATAAAGTAAATATCAAAGGAATATAAAAAAATAAAATAAAGTAAATATCAAAGGAATATAAAGTAGAAATAAAGTAAATATCAAAGGAATATAAAGTAAAAATAAAGTTAATATCAAAGGAATATAAAGTAAAAATAAAGTAAAACTCAAAGGACTATAAACTAAAAAATAAAGTAAATACCAAAGGAATATAAAGTAAAAATAAAGTAAAACTCAAAGGACTATAAAGTAAAAATAAAATAAATACCAAAAGAATATAAAGTAAAAATAAAGTAAAACTCAAAGGACTATAAAGTAAAAAATAAAGTAAAATTCAAAGGAATATAAAGTAAAAATAAAGTAAAACTCAAAGGAATATATAGAAAAAAATAAAGTAAATATCAAAGGAATATAAAGTAAAAATAAAGTAAATATCAAAGGAATAATAATATAAAGTAAAAAATAAAGCAAATATCAAAGGAATATAAAGTAAAAAATAAAGTAAATATCAAAGGAATATAAAGTTAATATTACAGACATTGGCGGTTACTTCATTACGATTAAAACTCTCTAAGTCTAAGAATTATATTTTTCTAGTGGAATTTCCCGAATGCCATGATAACCAGGAAGGCTTGTGCTGCCATTGCTGCTGGATGTACGGTTGTTATTAAACCAGCGGAAGATACACCATACTCAGCTCTAGCACTTTGTCAGGTTTGTGTTTAAAATACTTGTAACATGACTTTAGTGCTGACCACTCTTCTCTAGTTCTTTGTCAGGTATGTGTTTTACGTGTAGTAATGTTAACAGGACGTTATTCCCATGTCACGATGTATATATTTAGTATTTGTCACTCTTCTCTAGCGCTTTGTCAGGCGTGTGGACAATCTGTACTACTCAGATCTAGCTCTAAGTCATGTTTGTATATGTTTTATAATCCCCACTCAGCTCTAGTTCTATGCAGTGCCTGATTTGCCTCATCCTCGGTATCCCCAGTGGTCCCATTCCGTTCTATTCCACTATACCCTCGATTAATCCATGGGGTATCCACGCATTCAAATTCTCTGTCCATGATCGTAACATGATTCTACGAGCCAATCAAAGGAATTTAATATAAAAGTCGTTATGCTATCAAGCGTATTAATTTGAATGAAGGAACTCATGGTTTAGTGGAACGGAATGGCATCACTGGGGATACAGAGGAGGGGTATGCCTGTAGACGAGGGCTTCAAGAACTAGGGGGACTCCGACCAAGATGCATAATATTTTTGAAACTGCCATCAGCCCTTTTTTTTACACACGCTGTAATCTTAAACACCCGTTATCATCCTGGACTTTGTTCGATTGTGTTAAACACACTTTTATAGCTATCTAGTCATGGCGATGGTGGATTGGGGGAGGCCCCATATTAGAATGAGTCGACTCAAAGCCTGACCTTCACGCCACCATGCGGCCATCCTTATATGAATGAGGGTACCACAATCGGTGGGGAAAATAACTGACCAGGCCAGTATACCTACGTATGCCGTGTAAACCGCCGTGCCCGTATACCAAATACCGTATACCCGTATGTAATAGCAGCCTAAAGATCTTAATCCGGCCATGATGTGCTGGATTGCGACTAGAAATAGTTGTGCTACCCTATCTTAAACATACTTATTAATGTTTGTAGTTAGCAGCCGAAGCTGGACTGCCCCCTGGTGTGCTAAATGTGGTGACGTCATCAAGAGGAAACGCCCCTGCCGTGGGTCAAGCTATGTGTGAAAGTCCATTGGTTACAAAAATGTCCTTTACAGGGTCAACAGCTACTGGTAAGGTTAGTAATAAAGTTATATTAATTCTAGGAATCGAATATCACAGATGACCAACATTTACTGGTAAGCTTTTTCCGGGTCCTCCGGTTTCCTCCCACTGCTAAAGAACCCTACGCGCAAGAAAATTAATGAAATAAAACTGACCGATATATGGGATTAAATGGCCCCCTGGTAGGGGTTATATTGCGTTAAATGGCGTCCCTGGTATACCAGCGTTGCCTATAAATTAATCCACCTTTGTATTTCATATTAATCAGATAATTCTAAGACAATGTGCAGGAACGGTAAAGAAAACATCGATGGAACTAGGAGGTAATGCACCGTATATTGTATTTGATAATGCTGATCTAGAGAAGGCGGTTAAAGGAACGATCGGCAGTAAATTCAGGTGTTCAGGACAGGTAAGTTCAATAAATTCCTATTCAGCCGAGGTTGGTTTTTTAGAAAAGCTGCCTGCTCTACAAAATCGAGTTTTGCGGCAAAAAGCTTCACAGTACGTGCTGTTAAATTCTAAATATTTAAAGTCGTTCAGTTTTAGAGTTTTGGTGATCCCATCATCGTAAATGACTTCAAACTGTGTAGCCAATCATTGTAAAGTATATAACGTCTGTGTAGCCAATCATTGTAAAGTATCTACCTTCTGTGCAGCCAATCATTGTAAAGTATCTACCGTCTATGTAGCCAATCATTGTAAAGTATCTACCGTCTGTGTAGCCAATCACTGTAAAGTATCTACCGTCTGTGTAGCCAATCATTGTAAAGTATCTACCGTCTGTGCAGCGAATTATTGTAAAGTGTATGACGTTATACTGTATATCTAGCATAAAAGAAGGTGGTTGGGATAGCCTACTGGTCTAGAGTGCCGCGCTTCGACCTCTGGCTTGCGGCTGTGGTTTCGATCCCTGGTGTGAGCGTATGTGGCTTGGAGATAGGGGCGCCTTCTCAACCTCGTGGGTTTACCGCTGGTGCGCCAGTTTCCTCCCACAGGAAAGACCCCTGCTATATCACCTTGGGTGGAAGCGGACGTTAAACACTAACAACAATAGTATAAACGAATTCCCGTAGTAGACAATGGTTGATTTTAAGCTATTTTAAAATCTATTTTTAGACCTGTGTATGTGCTAACCGAATATTAGTACAAGAGACTATTTACGAAGAGTATGTGAAGAAACTGGCGGAAGTGATTAAACAAGAGTTAAAAGTCGGAGATGGATTCGAACCCGGTGTTAATCTAGGCCCTCTGATCAACAAGAAAGCTGTGGATAAGGTATGCCGGCTATTATGGGAATATCAAACCTCGTGGCTTTTCTCCGGGTCCTCTGGTCTCGTCCCACTGCTAAAGACCTCTATGCGCAAGCGAATTGAACCATATGTTAAACTTCACAAGGTTCTGTCATTAAGTCAAGCGGCGTGGTTTCGACTACCCGCTTGTACGTAACAAGAGGTCGGATCGTCTGTCCAACCTCGTCAATTTTTCTCTGGGGCCTGCCAATTAGGATAGAGATCTATTCTCGAAGTAGATGGATCTCTGTTGGTACAATGACAAAACTGCTACCGAACAATATAGGCCTACTCTGACAATCGCCCCCGCCTCCATGTTCGCTAAAATTGGTTAATAATATGTTCGCCAAGAAACTCCCAGCTTTTTACCCTATTGTTATTGTTCATCGGGTTTTTCCGGCATGGTCTCCCCTTGTCAGTGGTGCGGGACGGGGGGGCCTGACAAGGACAGCTGTCTAATCGTTGGGTTGTCACTAAAAACCGAGGTCCCGTGTATACATTGGCGTAGGCCTACACGTAAAAGATCCCTTGGCAGTTGGAATTCGATATAAGAGTAGGCCGTAGTGCCGCTGCCCGGCAAAATCTCCCTCATAGCACACTGTATGGCGTATGTTCGTCTTCATTAGCCCAGTATAGGAGCAGAACAGTAGTCGTTAAACCCCATTTCATTTCATTTTCTATTCTTTTTACAGGTGAACTCCATTGTTGATGACGCCGTTGCTAAAGGCGCGCGTGTTGTGCTTGGTGGAACGAGAAATGAAAAGGGAGATAACTTCGTTAATCCGACATTATTAGCGGATGTCAAGTTAGATATGCGATGTGGTCAGGAGGAAATCTTCGGTCCTGTGGCACCAATTTTCAAGTAAATTTAAATCAGTTTTTTGTATCTGTTGTTTATTTCCCCCGTTGAGGTTTCTCCATATCTTTTAGCCAACAGACAACCCACTTCCAATATATAGAATGCAGCTAAACGCAAACGTGACTTATTGAGTGATGTGATGGTATAGTAATCAGGACGTCGCGAGGTCGCTGAGAGAGTGGCAATCCGTTGTGTCTCTTTTTAGTCATGCGGGACGGAGCCCCTCACAAGGAGCGAGAGAGAGAGAGAAATGGGGTTTAACGTTGAGAGATGCTCAAGGAGTGGGCCCATTGGTCTAGCCCTTTAGTCAGGTAGCGTATTGTGTGATTATATATTTACATCGTACATGTATATACGAGAGAGAGAGAGAGAGAGAGAGAGAGAGAGAGAGACGGGGTTTAACGTCCACTCGACACAAACTAGGTCATTTCGGGACTAACATATGGTTTTAATTTTATTTCAATAATTCGTTTGCGCGTAGGGGTCTTTAGCAGTGGGAGGAAACCGGAGGACCGGGAGAAAACCCACGAGGTTGGACAGGCGATCCTACTTCTTGTCACGTACAACCGGGGATTCGAAACCACGCCAGTTGACTCACTGATAGCGCGTACGTGCTAACTATTCGGCCATCCACCCCACCCCACCCCACCCCGCCTCACAAGGAAAAACATCTAGTCGTTCGACGGGACGAAACTGAAGTCACGTATATATCATTGGATGTACGTTAAGGAATAACTGACAGTTAAAAATCCTTTCAGCACATAGAGAACTAACTACTTCAAGAATAGATCTCTGACCTGAATGGCCGCCATATCCAACAATTAGTATATTGTTTTTGTAATGCGGTCCTACTCCTGTTCACATCTGTTATACACAAAAAGACTAATTAAACCTTTTTAATTTTATTAAATAAAAGCAAAATATATACGTCTCAAATTTCTCGAAATATACTTAGTGTTTCGAATAAAATGTCGGTCATTTAGTTTAGTGTCTGTTCTCAAGTGGAGCTAATTATAGACAGACAGCGTAAGTTTAGTATGTTAAAACTCGAAATAAAAGTAGGAAGAGACGGGCATTAAAGGGACAATATCACTCTTGCTGGCTTGACAGCTCCAGAAAATAAATAATAGCCTTATTCTAAGTATTAGATGTTTAAGTGTCCTACCTTTTGTGTAAATTATCCATTACATTCTATTTTACTTGTTCAGAGGGCTCGAAATTATATTTTTAAATCCAAATCACATTTGAAAAGGTTTACGTTAGGCTTTTCAAATCATTTAGTAGAATTTTTTCCAATTTTTTTAAATTAGGTGTGTTAAGATGCAATTTTTATCATCAATTAATTGGAATATTGTAAAATAGTACAATTTGTTGACTAGAATAAAGATTGGGACATATTATTCAGTTACAACAAGAATAGTATTGAGGCTTTAAAGATTAGTTGGAATCAAAATAAAAGTAGACTGTAGGGCATCTGTTCTGGAAATATTTCTATTATAGCACACTACCACTCGTAACAATAGTATTACCCCTAGAACGGGATAATGATGTAGGTCATAATTTTACCGAATGGTAAAACAAACCGTCTTACCGCCTTAATATGTCGATTTATCTCAATATTATTATCCCCCTCTAGGCGGTAATAATATTGGATCAGGTGACACTACATGCGCGTAGCCCGATTGGTGCAAAAATAAGACGTTACCTCCCCACCCTACCCATCTTTTCATTTCATTTCATGTCACCTTGAAGCGATCCTTAATGAGAGTTTCCGTGGTTTATATTAGTCCATGTTCTCTTTTCTACCAAGGTGTCCTTTGCGATATGGTCCTTCAGTTGCTAGATATAAGCAAACATCAAGTCAGATTAATGTCTAGGGATTTTCAAGCCAAGTTTTTATTTGTCCGGGGTAGCGTTCCTTTGCATGCATTGGTAGTGGACGTGAGCGGTCCCATTTGGAATTCCAAGAAGATTGGACAAAATAACCAAATTCGGCGTATGGAACGGATCTAACATGTAGGAGGGTTTGTAGGAAATTAGGGCATGGACCGCCAGTTTTGTCGAAAAAAGTCTTCTTCTATTTGATTTTCATTTCTGGTTGTTCTTTAGTTTTAATTATTATTCTAGGTTTAAAACGGAAGACGAGGCTGTTGCTATTGCCAATGCTACCACATCAGGTCTAGCAGGTTAGTATCGTCCCATAACATGGTCGAAGCTTAGTTCCCTTATTCAAGGGATGGGCATATCGATGCATTGAAAGAACCTCGCGTATGGTCCCCTATGACACGATCGCAGGTATTGGAGTTGAAATGAAACGGGGTTTAAAGTCCTACTGTTCTGCTCCGAACTGAGCTAATGAAGACGGGCACTACGGCCTACTCCTATATCGAATTCCAACTGTCAAGGGATCTTTTACGTGCACCCCAATGTGTACACGGGACCTCGTCTCATCCGAACAACTAGACAGCTGTCCTTATCAGACCCTCCGTGCTGCACTACTGACAATGGGAAACCACGGCAGAATATCCCGATGAACTTTCTCGGCCAATGCAGAGATCGAACTTCGACCGCCAGGCTAGCGAGCCAGCGTCTTACCCACTTAACCTCCGTGCCCCCCCCCCCCGATTTTTGGAATCTAGTTGCCATTAGCTTATGTTTTACAATTGCCGGTTTTGCTGACAGCTGATCCTGATGAACAAGAGCCGAATTAAGTGATGAGTCTTAGGGGCTGTATGGGACTTCGGTATCTGTTGCCTAGGGTCCTACAAATCGTAACCCCGGAGAAAGCAGTACAGCGGTGTAATTAAGGGGTGTCTAACCAACAGAAGTCGCGACTGTGACACTTGAGGTTCCAAACAATGTCTTACACCGTCGCCATCATTGCTATGAGAAAGTGTGTGTGAGAGAGAGAGAGAGAGAGTTTAACGCCCACTCGACACAAGCTAGGTCATTTCGGGACCAACATATGATTAAATTTTGTTACAATAATACGTTTGCGCGTCGGGGACTTTGGCAGTGGGGGAAACTGGGGGACCCAAGGAAAGCCCACGAGGCTCGACAGGCGATCCTACCCTTGTCACGTACAAGCGGTGAATGGAAACCTCGTCATTTGACTCAGTGACAGACAATATAATCTAAAGCCCCCACCCCCCTCCCCCGCCAGAAAGTAAATTAGTTATTTTTATATGTTATTTCAGGTTATTTCTTCTCTCGAGATATCGGGCAAATATGGCGAGTAGCTGAACGATTAGATTACGGTATGGTCGGTGTTAATGAAGGAGTTATATCGTGTGTCGAGGCACCGTTTGGAGGGTTTAAGGAATCGGGTCTAGGGAAGGAGGGAAGTAGGTATGGCATTGAAGAATACCTGGAAATGAAGTACGTCTGTATGGGAGTAGCGTAAATAGAATTAAGGCGGGGCAATGGACTCGGTGGGTGGGGTTAGGGGGTCATATGGGAGGGGCTGCAAATGATTGATAGATGAAGGAATTCCTGCTTTAACAGAATCAAAGACGAACACATACATGCAATAATTGGAGTATCTGGCAATGAATTAAAATGTATCCTGATTCAACAATTTGAATTTTCATGTTGCGAGTGTGCTTCCGTAACTATTGGTCTGCTTGGTCATATTTTATGTTTTGTATCTATAAATCAAATAAAAACTTTGAATCAACCGTATCGTGTTTTTATATAGAAGTGTTATCGGGTGTTACAGAAGTACTCAGCACACCCTGTTTGTGTACCGGGGGGGGGGGAGTTGGATGACCGAATGGTTAGCACGGACGCACTGTATCATAAGGTATGTCATTGAGTCAACTGGCGTGGTTTCGATTCCTCGGTTGTACGTGACAAGGAGTAGGGTCGCCTGTCCAACCTCGTGGGTTTTTCTCCGGGTCCTCCTTTTTCCTCTCACTGCTAAAGACCCCATGCGCAAGTGAATTATTGAAATAAAATTGAACCATGTGTCAGTTTTCTATTATTTTTTTTATAGAAATAAAAGACAATATTTTTAGTTTTTATATTTTATAAGTCCATGTATAAATTTGTAATGTCGGTGTCCATATATTTGTACTTGTTTATTTAAAACTGAAAACGAGCTTCTACTGGATAATGGTCGCTAACACCATAAGCCTGCAATAGAAAACAAAACAATCCCTTTATCCTATTTCACATTGTTATTGCGGCAGAGGTTGGGGTTGTGATTTTTATATATTATGCTTACTTTTTTTTCTACGGTAATGTGTGAGCACTATGACTAGGCAGAAACAGGACCGGGGAGTGTGTGGGGATTCCAGTATCTGCGGCATTCAATGCTTCGTGTTTCGTTTAATAAATCGGCAAGACCGGATTGACCAGAGAGAGGGAGAGAAATGGGGTTTAACGTCTACTCGACAGAAACTAGGTCATTTCGGGACTAACATATGGTTTATTATTTTATTTCAATAATTTCCTTGCGTGTAGGGGTCTTTAGCAGTGGAAAAAAACCGGAGGACCCGGAGAAAACCCGCGAGGTTGGACAGGATTGACCAATAGGCATAGTATGTCGTTGGCCTAGAACCCAAGGGTATCTTGGGCCAACTGAAACTATTTTTTTTTCACACAGCGTGCCTGTTATAACCTTGTTTCAAGTGTCCGCCGGGTATTTCATTGGTTGGTATTAGGCCTAGGGTGCACAAGTAAGTAAAACCGGTCTTGATGATCAAAGCGTACGTTTTTATGTGTAACTACTAAGTTCATCGGAATATTTTTCGCGTGGTCATGCCCCCACCTATTCCCTTGTTAGTAATGCAGGACGATGGAGCCTGGCAAGGGACAACGTATAGTCGTCTGGGTGGGACGAAAAACCTAGGCTCCATGTACACATTGGTAGGCACGTGAAAGATCCCTTGGCAGTTCGAATTCGATATAAGAGTAGGCTGCATGGCCGCTTTCTGGGCTAAATTCCCCTCATAGCGCATTGTATGGCATATGCCCGTCTTCATTAGCTTGTGCCAATTGTGTTTTTTAAACTTTCCCTTTAATTGACAGCGCTGATGTATTAAGTTGAGGTTGTCACCCATATTCATCGCGTTATTATATATTTGTTACCCGGTCTTTGATTGGTTGTTAAAGCTATAGTTAACCAATCGTTACTTGACACAGGCCACCAAGGCAAATGGAATCCATGGACTACCAAAAGCAAATGGTGATGTCCAAATTATTCAAATCACTTGGATAATCCGCTTCTCGTGATCTGACTCTTCAATAGCCATACATCCTAAAATACTCACCTCTGTATAGTTGAGACTATACTCCACATCAAAACGATATACGACAGCGCTGTCAGAAATAAAAGCATTTTCTAGCAAATCACCACTGATGACAATTCTGAAAAAAAACCCAATAAGTATGGAGAGCGACATTGAGAAATAGGGTTTAACGTCCACGCGACACAAACTAGGTCATTTCGGGAATAACATATGGTTCAATTTTATTTTAATAATTCGCTTGTGCGTAGGGGTCTTTAGCAGTGGTAGGAAAAAGGAGTACCCGGAGAAAACCCACGAGGTTGGACAGGCAACCCTCTTCCTTGTCAAATATAACCGGGGAATCGAAATCACGCCAGATGACTCCATAATAAACCCTATGACACAGCGCGCACGCGCTAACAGTTCCGCTATTCTCCAAACAGTCCTGTCAAATTTTAAACATTTTCTTTTCATTATCTAATTTTTTAGATATTAAAGCGAGAACTATCAGCTGTTAATCCAGATCTTACATAATGCATCTTTAACTTGTATGATTAGTTGCCAGTCTGGGATTTGTATTTAATAATTTAAAAAACAAAACAAAACAAAAACAAAAACAAAACAAAAAAACCCCCAAAAAACCAAAACAAACACAGATTTAAAAAATACTAGACCTGTCATAGGCACAATCCGTGGAACTGGTTGTTGTATCTTCATCAGACGAGATTAACCAGTGATATTTAGGATCTGTGTATAGTTGATTCTCTTCTAGTTCGGAAGCCGACAAATAACTACAATCGGCATTAAAATCACCCATGACTATAATATTCTAGGAAACAAAAATTAAATGCACGTGGTTTTATATATAATACTAGGATATGCTATAGCTGTGTGAACACCCCAAATGAAAAGTAGTATCGGGTGCTCTAGAAAAGGTAAACACACCCTGCCTCGTGCAATACACCGGTCACGACTTTTAGTCACGATTTTTAATCAACTGGGGTAATGTTTTGAACCAGAATTTCAGAATTTTAAGGCTACAGGGCAGAAACACCAGAAGGGGATAATATAAGGATTCTGGGTGTACCTCAGAAGAGGAGGGAGCACTACATTCATATACCCCCCCCCCTCCCCGGTCAGAGCTCATTCTTACTTGTAAAGGAGAACGTTGCATAAGTGTCACATTTGGACGAAATGAAATGGGGTTTAACGTCCTACTGGTCTAATGAAGACGGACATACGCCATATGAGGGAAATTACCAGACATCCGCGATACAGCCTACTCTTATATCGAATTCCAACTGCCACGGTATCGTTTACTGGACGCCAATGTGTACACGGGACCTCGATTTTTCGTCTCATCGGTACGACTATACATTGTCTCTTGCCAGGCCCTCTGCCCTGCATCGTTGACAAGGGGGAACCACGCCGGGAAATCCCGATGAACGTTTTCGTCCAGGTTAGCGAGCCAACGTCTTACTCACTGTGCACTGTGGCGCCACATCTGGATGAACCATAGAAAAGATCTTACTTTAAAATTATATCTGGAAAATGTAGGTCCGGTCGTAACAGTGACGGCTTATACGATTTGGACGGCTCTCCGACTACGGTCACAAATTGTTTACGTTACGTGTACAACGCGGATGTAATGCATTGTTTTCAGAGTATTTGGCTTATATGTGTGGTGTCAATCACTGCCGATGAAGAAAAGTTACTGTACCTTGGAAGAGAATGGAGCATTCATAAGTGTATTATAAAGATCAACCAATCCAGTCAATTCACTGACTACATAATCAGGTTTAATGTGGATACCACACACACCAAAATCTGTTCAAATAAATGACGAAATCGACATACACATCATATAATATTATAGTAAAGTTCTAGCAGGTTCAAATCGACATAGACATCATATATTATAGAAGTCTAATTAAAATACAGATCTATATTGATTTATCAATGTCTGACGTCAGAAGATCAAAAGCTACTCGTGTGACACCTGACGCGACCTTGCGATACAACTGGTCAGATCTCCATGTAGCGTAGGACATCGAAAGGAAATATAGATCTGTATTTTAATCTTGTACTTACAGCAAGATACCAATATAGATCTGTATTTTAATCAGAGTTTATAATCCCCGTACTTGCAGCAAGATACCAATATAGATGGTTAGTTTGTATTTGTGTTTTTAGACTTTCATTTTCTCCCCTAATTTTATCTTCCTATTGTTTGGTTAATAAACACCATCCTAGTGGAACAAGCGTCAATCTGATTGAAACACAGATCCACTACACAATATGATTTGAAAGCGCTTTTAAATATTCCGCGTGCTGGTAGATGTAAGGGAATAGCCAATGAAATGGTGTGCTGGATCGAGTTCTTTTAGTCTGGCACGCGGAATTGTGGGTAGGCATTTGCAGCGATAGAAAACATATCAGAGCAAAAGTTGTATTCCCGAATAGTCTCTATCATTTAGACAAATATTTTACGAATATTAATCTGGATATGTTGTCAACGTTGGAGAATAATAGGTCATTGACTAGATTATCCGGTCTTTTACATTATCATGAACAAAGTCTAAGGGAGGTAACTAGACCTAAAACAAGATATCAACTGTCATGAAATTAAATTAAGAATTGCCATGTCAGAAAATCCATTTGCGTTGCCAGTTCAATATCCAACATTCTTGATTTTTTTATCGTAAAATTTCTGGCTTCGTGGACCATATCTATGTTTTTTCATTAATCCCAATTCGTCGTCACGATTCATGTTTGTTTATAATAATGAAAGAATTGTGGGGATTTATTTCGGAAAGGGACTCAACTCTTATTTGCCTTGACGAAAAATACTGGGTAATCAACCACATAAAAAAAACCGGTTGCGCATGGGCAATGGAACTTTTCGTCAAATCTTGACAACAGACCCAGACCCTCCGTACGGTCGATTACCCACTCGAAACACTGACCCTGATTGATTAAACGAAAGACATGACGTCATAGGTCAAGCCGCTTGAATGACCCCTGATACGACCTCCGACAACAACCGGTTAGATCCTCAAGTACAATCTGTTTCACAGAGAATTACGAGTCATCTAATATCTCTATAAAAGATGACAGCCTTTAACACGTGCCGCCACAGCACGCGACGTCAATCATTGACTGAATGGCGCGTGCATTGTTTACATAAGACGTTACTGCTTCGGGCAGAATGCTGCCTTTTACTCATTTTAATACCCATTTACACTAAATAGGAAATAATTTTTACCTACAAATACGTCAAACGTCTTTATTTATATTTCTAATACATCAAAAAATGTTTTAGAATTTAATTTGTCGGAAAAAAGTTAATATTTGAGTCGCATTGATACCATCATTATCAGTGATTGTAGCGGCCTAGCGAATATTCTCTTCTGATCAGTGTGCCTCATGTAGTGGAGGCCATCAAAAGCATAAAACACGAAATATAGATCGGTATTTTAATTAGATTGAGCAACCGTGGCACATATTCGTTCCTGGAAAGCTGTCTAGTCGTTCGGATGGGACGAAAAACCGAGGTCCCGTGTACACATTGGCGTGCACGTAAAAGATCCCTTGGCAGTTGGAATTCGATATAATAGTAGGCCGTAGTGCCGCTGTCCGGGCAAAATTTCCCTCATAGCACACTGTATGGCGTATGCCCGTCTTCATTAGCCCAGGTTAGGAGCAGAACAGTAGGACGTTAAACTCCATTTCATTTCATTTCATTTCGTTCCTGGTACTATCAGCGCTGGGTTAGTTTGCTTTTGTGTTTTCTTTCCCCTTTTGTATGGGGTAGGTCTGGGTTGATATTAAAATAATGTATTTCTAATTAAATGCGTACATTTTCCTGTATCAAAAGGCTCCAATTCTACACAGTATGGTTCTCGTTCAAATATATCTGTCCCATCATCAGGGCCATCATCATATTGATGGGTTGACTTTACTTTGAGACGGTCAGTTCTGTAATAAATATAAAATTAATTGCTATAAAGCCTCCAGTCGCCATTTGCATTATTCGGAAATATATAAAAATTTTCGGGGGCGGATCCAGAAGGGGGGTTTGGGGGGGCGGGGTCCAAACCCCACCCTGCTCAGCTACATAAACTAATAAGAATGTCTTGCATCAATGAAATTAAATCACAATGTGATCCTACATCATTACAAAAATGATTTCTCTCTTTAAAAAGCTAAATTTGTATGTATGCCTATGTAATTTAGAGACGATGATGACGTATTTCTTTAACAGGAACCTGGCAAACCCCCTCCTGCAAAAATTCCTGGATCCGCCCCTGAAAATATGTAAACTGAGGACGTATATTCTCGGACCATATCTATTTATGGCAATTGTGGTATATATGGAAAGTAGAGACAACCAATCAGTGGTGTACTGGGTCTGAAAATATTGGTTGCCAGGAGACGAGGGCAGCCCACCCACTTATACAATTCTATCATTTAATTTTTAAAATGAATAAATTAAATTTTCAAAAAATATGTAAGTGGAAACAAAAAGATGTAATTAGAATTTTCCCGATTTTGTTTTCTTTATATTTTTTGATAATTTATATTTTGAATATATTGTCTAATGTCTTAAAAGGCCCGCTTCCTCAGGGGCCAACTTGCCATTGGGCAAGCTGACAAACTGGTCAGTCCGTCACTGCACCCAATCCTACTAGAAAAATGCTAAATTCCTTGAAAAACACTCATGGAGTGCACACAGGACAAAAATGAGAGGGTATCACTAATTGACAGCCCAACGATTAGGGCTGTCTGCTCGAGTAACGTCAAAGGGTGCACGCGTAGATTGTCGAACCCCTTTGCGTTAGGGAGCGCTTAATGTGAGATAAAAAAGAGGAAAAAGACGTGGGCAGGGATTATCCGAGAATTTAGTTAGGCTTCAATATATATGGCACGTGCACAGTGCAATGAATTCTCCCCCAACTTGCCACTCGTAGCCAAGTCACGTGACACAAAATGACCTCTTAAAATAGATTTTTTTTTATAGCTTACGTATATCACGCGGGATTTGAAGCAAATGTTTGATAGATTAATTAGTTTGAATATGTTTTAGTCGGACTATATCGTCAAATCACACAGTTTGTAAATGGGAGTGTATCTTTAATTCTTGCTAATAATATATCATCAACTCACACATTTTGTAAATGGGGGGGGGGTATCTTTAATTCTCGCTAATATATACTCAAATTGATTATTTGGACGTATTGCGAATATCAGAGCGGGTTCGAGCCTTTATTTACACTCTGAATATATTTGTTTAGTACTGCATTACCTGTAGAAGAACGCGTATTGTTCTTTATAAGATGATCTACCCAGTCGTTTACTGATAATATAGTTATAGTTTGGATTTATCCTGTAAAAATAAATGAATTAGACATCATAGTTTGGGTTTATCCTATAAAAACAAATGAATCAGATAGTTAGGGTTTATCCTGTTAACACAAATGAATCAGATCGTTAAAGTTTATTCTGTAAAAGCAAGAAGGCTAAATAATATATCAGGGTCCTATTTCACGAATTTTTAACTAAGATAAAATCCAAATGTTAGTAATTTTATTGGATAATGTTAGATTGATTTTAGCGCTTAGCCAATCAAAATTGAAGTATCTACTACTAAAATTGGGATTTTATCTTTAGTTAAGATTTCGTGAAACAGGGCCCTGGCCTTAAACAGCTAATGTAGACTGATGGGGGTGGGGTGCGGAGGGATGCTCGAGTAGTGTCAAACGTTAGGACGCGAGGACGACAGCTGGCGTTTTTACAGGGTTCCAAGCGGATCCAGGACAAAGCACTGTTGGGTGACTGGGTAGTGAAGCCCGCGAAAGTCTGAGGTTGCTGGACAACTTTAATGCTAAAGATGGTTAAAATTGGATCTATTTTAAATTATTCTACCGTGTTCTCTATTTTATCAATCGACTGGTTTTTCTGACACTAATTTGACACCAGGCTTATAAAAGCAAATGGTAAATGAATCAGCTTCGGCTCTCCTATGTCTTGTCTGCGATATCACTTATGTGGAAGCAGTCGTTAAACACCAAGAACTACTACTACTGACGCTTTAAATTACTTACGCTTGTGCTAATTTCAGTAGTTCATCTACAGCCCATCCACTAATATCTCGGATTTCTTGGAGAAGCATGACGTCATATCTAACAACAATCTACAAAGCAATAATAATAATAATAATAATAATAATGCCCGTCTTGTGGATGAAAGTTGTCTATCCATCACAACTTACATGTATTGGAGTATTGTAGTTGGATGGAAGGGTTCTTTAAATTTTGAAGAATAAAATTGAGCTGTGAAAAAATATATATAAAATGAAGCTGCATCTTATTTTGGGAGGGGGGGGGGAGAGGGGAGAGAGAGAGAGAGAGAGAGAGAGAGAGAGGGTTTAGCGTCCACACGACACAGACATATGGTCGTTCAATTTTATTTCAATAATTCGCTTGCGCGTAGTGGTCTTTAGCAGTGGGAGGAAACCGGAGGACCCGGAGAGAACCCACGAGGTTAGACAGGCGACCCTACTCATTGTCACGTACAACCCTTTATCTTCAGATTGTCTTCTATCTGTTATAAAATTCAACAGGGGCATACTTTCTACCCAATCTGAACAGTAAAATCAATTAGAGATCTTTAAAAGTCATATACAATAGTATGATCACATGATAACTGAAACCCAACCGGACCACCCAGTGGCACCCACCCCCGCCTAAAAAAGATACATTGGCTCAGGCACCTGGCAAACCCTATCCTGCAAAAATTCCGGGATCCGCCTCTGAAATTTATAATTAATCGAATTTCAATGATTTCTCCCCTGGCAGCATTAGGTGTCTCAGACAATCTAGTTTCAATGATTTCCCCCTTGATAGCAGGAGGCGCCTCAGACAATCTAGTTTAAATGATTTCTCCCCTGACAACAGGAGGTGTCTCAGACAATAAAAGATAAGCGAGTTTTAATTGATTAATTTTGGTCTGTAAGTGGTGTATAAAATTAGATTAGTATATATCACGTGACTCAGTTTTATAAAATACGCCCACTTAAGAAAGATGAATTGACATCAAAGCTACCAATAAACTTTAGGAAGAAACTACTTCTAGATAAACTACTCGAAGCTTCGTATAACCTATATTATCAATGAATGTTACACATCATGTATTGCCGGATATACGTCACGTCACTCACGCGCATCAATTTATCCTTTCAGAAGAATCAAATAATCTTGGGTTCGATCTCGAGGCTATATTACACAGCAATAATTGCCGGATATACGTCACTCCACGCGCAAAAGATTATCTTTTCAGAATAATCAAATAATCCCCGTTTTGATCCCAAAGTTGTGTTACAACATAATTTCTTCACAAACGAATTCAAATGCGCTGTACAAATCTTTATTTAACGAGGCAACTTATTTAGTTTGGAAACTACTAATCTTTGCGTTAGTAACCCTCTCAATTTTCTCACAATGAAGTGATAAAGTTAGTTTTTTCTGATTTCTTTGGTGTTTTGGTGATATCAGCATTGATTTTGTTTTCGAATGATTGATTACCATCCCATTATTTTCACACCATTTAGCAACCAAATAGAGATCATTTTGGGGATTATTGGCGATGGATAAAATATCTTTGTGTGAACAATGCAGGGTACTGTCATTAGCAAACAAATCCATCTGACTTGATTCAATATTGAGTGGGAGATCTTTTATAAAAATAAGGAAAAGGAGAGGACCCAGGTTCGACCCTTGTGGAACCCTGCATTTGACTGTAGTAATTGAGGAGATAATTGATCCTAAACAGACTTTTTGCTTCCGTGAGTCAAGATATGATTCTATCAAAATTTGTGAATTTTTATCAAATCGATAAAGATGTAGTTTTTCGATAATAAGCTTGTGATCAATGAGATCAAATGCTTTGCTAAAATCAAGATACACTATACCACTCATCGCACCATTATCGATAGCATCAAGCCAATTATCTGTCATTCGGATCAGTGCAGTAGCACATGAATGATTTGATCTAAATCCAGATTGGTACGCATAAAGAACATTGAATGTTTCCAAATAATATTAAATTTGAGTGCTCAAGTGCTTTCGGATATTTTTGAAATTGTGGGGAGAATTGAGATTGGCCTATAATTGTTCGGATCATCTTTAGCTCCCTTATTATGTATAGGAATAATTTTAGCAAGTTTAAGGGCACCGGGAAACATGTTTTGAGAAATACACCCAATGGTTTCGTTACTATTTAAACTCAATAAATGTTTTAATACCTCTGTTGTAGTAATACAGTTAATAGAAAAGTTGTTATTATTATCATTTTCGTAATATGATATCTTTTGTTTGCACTTTTGAGAAAGTGGTGTATAGGGGGCTTAATGTCATCAGTTAAATTAGTGAAGTAAACATTCAACACATTAGCATTAACTGTTGTTTTACCATATTTAATACTATTGGGATAAGGGCAATTATTGGGTTTATTCTGTATATCACGAAAATACCTCCAGATGTTTTTAGATTGCTCTTCATTTTCGATAGAGTCCTTGATAAAGTTTCTTTTGGCATTAGAAATGAGAGTTGTGGTTTTATTTCTCCATATTCTATAGTCGTCATAACTCTTGGAGGCTTTAAAGAAGTCCCTGAACTTTCTGGCTTTATTTATTTCCTCATTAAACCTCTTCGGTTAATAGTATCATTTCACTCTTTTTCGCTTTTGCGGAGCATGGCAGTCTATAACACCTATAAAAAGGTTATACTAAGTATCAAGGGCATCATTTGGGTCATCAATTGACTCGACTAGTTCAAATGGAATTTTAGCGAGATCATTAATAAAATTAGAATCATCAAAGTTTTTGTAATTTCTGTATAGAATTTCCAAGTGGTTGTGTTTTGTGATTTTTCTCTGGCAGTTTCCAATGACAAAAATAATCGGAAAATGGTCACTAATACCATATTGAGGAACTTTAATTTCAACAATATTATCCGGTGTGTTTGTGTATAGATGGTCAATGACAGTAGAAGAATGCTAAAATGGATATGCACGAATGAATAAAATCGCTAAAACTAATGAATAGATACTGCTGTATCACCCATGGCGCCATGGTTGACCATTCTTGGTCTATGCTTTTTGGCAACGAAATAAATTGGGTTTAACGTCCTTCTGTTTTGCCCCGACTGGGCTAATGAAGACGGACATACGCCATACAGTGTGCTATGAGGGAAATTCGGCTCCACGGCCTACTCTTATATCCAATTCCAGCTGCCAAGGGATTTTTTACGTGCACGCCAATGTGTGCACAAGACCTCGGTTTTTCGTCCCACATGAATGACTAGACAGCTGTCCTTGTCAAGCCCTTGGTCCTGCACCATTGACAAGGGGAAGCATTTCGGCAAGGTTGAGGTCCAATAGGTTTTCCACACATCACAGTCGCTTAATTTATTCTTGTTCTTCGGGAACATTTGTCTGCGATATCACTCTTTGTGGAAGCGGACGGAAACCCCCTATATTAGTAGTAGTAATCGGTCCACTACCTTTTCAAAACAATTCCATACATTTTAGATAGTTTTTCATCAAATAGGAGGGTTGTGGTCTGCGAATGTCCTTCAAAGTGGGGCATCATCTAATAATAAATTTCTATCAACTAATTTTGCTTTAAAATCTCTGATGACCGATATTAAAGACCTTTAAAAAAAACCCCAAAACTTACCTTAGCTAGAATATCTGCAATATGTTCTTTACTCATCTTCGATTTACCAAAAGTTCGAACATTGAAGGCACCAATTCTTAGAGACGGGTTAACGGCTGCTGATTGAACTAGGCTAGCGACTATGCCCAAAATCAAGAGGCGTATTAAAACCATTCTGATTTGAATCTACGTTTGTACTGACGTGAAACCTTCTCCAAAATGAAGCTTCGTATCCACTGATCTGAATAAATGTCTGACTATTTATAGTCCCCAATCATCGGATGTTGCAATTTTCTTGTTATCGATATTTTACTTTTAGCTCGAAATAGAATTTATATGTGACTATCTGATTGGCCTACCTTACTTAGAGTGATTGTCATAAAATCGGAGAACGCTAGATCGGCGACGGTCCTGCACATTTTAGCACCTATGACGTCATATGTGGATTGTGTGTTAGGGCAAGGGTTAGGACCTTCAGATTTCGTCAAAGTCTCGAGATGTAAACAGGGGTAGCACTAACCCTAACCCTGGACCAAGCCTAACCATTACCCTAACACTAACGCACAATCCATATATGACGTCATGTGCGCAGGACCGTCTCCGATCTAGCGTTCTCCAATAAAATCATAAACCGGTATCAACAGTGCACCCGTAAGTCACGTGACACAAACATGACCTCTTTTGGTCGATTTTTTATAGCAAGGATATTCCTTGACAATTACAATGTTTTGAGAAGGATTTGAAGCAAATTTATGACAAACTAATTAGTTTGAATACGTTTTTAGGTCAAAAACACCATTAAATCACCCAGTTTGTACGCGGGAACCCATCTTTAACATAATCTTTGAATTAAATCCATCTATGACCAGTTTGTTTGGGATGAGATGGCAATGTTGTTTTGTTTTATTTTTAACATTGTACTGAACTGTTAGTCACGGTCAGAATGATAGAGACGTCTCCATTGTCGATGTCAGAAACATAAAACGCAGTCTACTTCGAATTGTGGACTAGTAGGAGGTGGGTTTCAAAATATATTCATTGCTGTTAGTAGGGTTGATGATACTAGGGTGTCTAATAGGAGGGGGGGGGGGTGGTATCAAGCTACTTTCAGTGTTATGGGTTGATTAATCTAGGGTTAATTAGAAGTATCAAGCTACATTCAGTGTTATTAGTATCCTTTTTGGTGGGTGGGGGGGGGGGGTGCTTTATTTTTTGAAAAATAAAACTAGGTTTTGAAAAAAATATGTACAAAAATACGAAACCACATCAAATTGTTTGGTTTTCATCAGTTCTCTCTGTTGCTGTGTTCTATTGGTTATAAAGAAGTTAATTATTATGTACCCACCAATAGAATAAATCGTACCATATGTTTTCACCAGTTACTTCTGCTGCTATATTCTATTGGTGCTCTCTGTTGCTGTGTTCTATTGGTTATAAAGAAGTTAATTATTATGTATCCACCAATAGAATAAATCGTACCATATGTTTCGCAACACTTAAACATGATAGTTCTGGTATTTCCATCGTTGGAAATAACCAAATTTCCCGAAAACCGATCATTGTTTACAGAGATGGTCTTACCTAATATCATGATAAATTTCACCTAAAGAACCCCGCTCCCAATCACGTTTTTATGATGTCATTTTAAATCCTTAAAGCTACTTTCCCGGAAAAGTGTTTATCGGGTGGTTATTTCCAATAAAATTATTGCAATTTTGATATATATATATATATAGGTAGAAACACCCAATCTTTGTAGAGAAATACTGGATTTTCTGGAAAAAAACACTCATGGAGCGCATACAGGACAAAAATGTAACCGGCAATCCGACAATTAGGGATGTCCGATCGAGTGACGTCAAAGGTTTGCACGCGGAGATGGTCTGATTTCTCAACGTCAGTGAGCGCTTCATGTTATATTGATAAATTTGATGGTGAGCTTAAACATACAACAGTTTCTGAGAGAAAAACCACGTAAAAGTCGTGGGCAGTGGACAATCCGAGAATTTAATTTGCTATTTATGATAAATGGACAGCGATTAAAGACAACATCGTCTTGTATGTGCAATGAAATCTCCTCTGGCTTCACACCCGTAGCTAGGTACCGCGTCAGCCAAATCACGTGACACAAATACAACTTCTTTTAATAGATATTTTATAGCCACGGTATTCCTTCACGAATACAATGTTTTGAGAAGGATTTGAAGCAAATTTTTGATAGATTAATTAGTTTGAATATCTTTTTAGTCCAAATATATCATCAAATCACCCAGTTTGTACGCGGGAATGTAATTAGATCCAATAATAAGCATACTCCCCGCAGTGTTTCGTTTGATTAGAGCTAATCCCACTAAACACCGCTTTAATGGAAGCATATTTCTGTTCAAAATTATGACTGGTCAATAGTCCGATTAACAACCAATAGCTAACTGCGTAACAATTTGATTACGCTTTAAACATAGCTCCACATTGGACCAAATATTTTTACACAACGTTGCGTCATGACTCACGATTTTATTATGCCAAATTAACCATTGCATAGCAGCATATTGCAGAAAAACTAATTGCGTGACAAACGAGACTATCAACATTGATACAATGTAAACAATATTGTATGGAGATGAACAAGACTTTCACCGTTTTTAATACCTTAAATCACTGTCCAAAGTTTTAGGGAAGACCCCATATTAAACGAAGGGCTGTCATGTTGATAGATTCGATTGAACGGGAAGAATACACACACTCTCTCAAAAGCTCAAGTATCAGAAGCCAATCCAGCAATGGCCAGAGAGGGATTTCTCGGGCAATTGCTTCAGGGATATGATAATAAGTGACTACAAAAAACCATATAAATAAATAAGAGATATACAGTACCAGATCAAAGATTTGCATGTTATTGATCACAAATAATAAACAGTGCTTTATAACTGTAGGTCTGGGACTTACAGCGCAGGGGAAGCTTATGCTAGGTCTGGGACTTACAGCGCAGGGGAAGCTTATTCTAAGTTCCCACTGTTGTGCGATGCCGTTGGCTTTAACGGGCCGCCACGCCATCACTGGAGTCTGGAATGGGCTGGTATAGTAGACTTTCTGGGCCGGATGTGCTGGGTGTGGGCCGGAATTTGGAATCCTGCAGTGGGGATGCCGAATTTCATCCGAAAATTTCATCGGATTCACCCGACACTGTCGCCCGCAAATTTACTAATTATTAAGTCACCTGCACCCTGTTTGTGGGGATACACCAGAAACGTCTGTCGATGGTTCGTAACTAAAAAGAAACCCATTCAATTTTAAGGCCTCAGCAAAATTTGATGATAGCTGGTCTGCTGGCTGAATATGAGTGCGAGACATTTCCTGAGGCTGGTGTGAAACATTCCTTGACATTTTTATTAACTCGTTATTTTCAGAGATGAAATTACAGAATTGGGATGTCGGGAATGGTCTCAAAATGCGGGAAATGGCTGTTACAGGGTGAGAGAGTTCAATTTAGACAATTCGGTGACCTATCACTGACCGGTATTTACATTTACTAGCGTTCAGGTGTCGCCAACATAATTGGTGAAATAATCTATCAATGACAGCTGATTCATTGTGTAGTTCTTTATTTTAATATATTAATATCAATAATATATGTATACGCATACTTTAATTAACTGTATACCTCATCTAAGTTTAGTATAAATTAGCTGAGGTTGTTGAGACAAATGAGAGGAGAGCTTGTACGCTCACCAGAGAAGGGTCTCTCTATTTTCTAATATTGTAATACTGTTGCTAGAATAAATTAATGTCCAATCCAGATCGTGTTCTAACTTGAAATTATGTTATATGGCCTCCCATTTCCAAAAATTCAAAAATAAATTGTGTCCCGTACGCCACGCCTATGCATGTCCGCTCCCACTCCGTCAAGGCCACCTGTTATACGGCCTTGACCCAGCGAAAGAACGTTTGATAATTTCACAGGTTGATGGTTGTAAATTACACGCAGGTCGGGGTTTTGGCCTAAATTAATCGATTTATGAGATATATTATTTGACAGAGATTATAATCAGATATGCCACCAGATCGCATATGTGGGGTTCATTTTTCAATATTTTCACGGGGGAGAGCACCCGGACTACCTTTCCGGGCTTTGGGTCAGTAAAACGGGCCGCTCCGACAGGGGAGCCCGGGCTGGGCCGCCCCTGGTTCAGGATCAACACGATTGCTACTACTGAACTCAATATATGATAAGACCTGATAGGTTCACTACAATTACTCCACGATTAAAGGCACGATTCCAATCGTAGCAGGAATCGTGATAGTGGGGACCTATCGAGAGAGAGAGAGAGAGAGAGAGAGAGAGGGGGGGGGGAGACACACACACAAACTAGGTCATTTCGGGACTAACACATGGTTCAATTTTATTTCTATAATTCGCTTGCGCGGAGGGGTCTTTAGCAGCGGGAGTACCCGGAGAAAACCCTCGAGGTTGGACAGGCGACCCTACTCCTTGTCACGTACAACGGGGACATCGAAACCCCGCCAGTTTACTAAATGACAGACCGTATGATTACCGTTTGTAGTGGAAGCTCGCGTCAGGTGTCATGCGGGCGGTTTTTTACTTTATGACGTCAGACAGTGTTTAATCAATCAGCGTTGACGTTTCTAATGGTTTTGCTCCCGGGTTTTGTTGGTGAAAGCCTCTTGCACATACATGTACAGGTACAAGTACTGTATATAATTATGAATAAACATTATAAATCAAATCTTGGTGGTCGCAAGAAATCTAAATAGTCAACCCCTACAAAATTATGATAAGGAGATTGCCAAATGCGCTCCCAGGGTGTTGAGCAAAAAGTTACAGTCTGTGATGTTACAGTCGTTTATGGGCATATAATTGCTAGTCTGGAGGCAGACCACCATTAATTTCCCCATTGACTTCAATGTTAATTCTGACCTCTTTTCCACAGAGGTAGTGCTTTTCACTACAGACAGAGGAACAAACGGTCATGTCTTTGCACTCAAATTTGTATGAGGTTGACCACCAAAATTTTGAGATACACAAACTTGAAGAAGCAAACTAAAAACACGTAACTTGTTGCCGTACATATCACCGTAGCCAA